ATCAGGTAGTCGCCGACCAACAGTTCGAATGGGTGTCTGCGTGTTATGGGTTCTAATAGTGAGTGCAAGTGTTGTGAACCAAAATTTTTGCACTTAGCGCAATCTGTTATAGCTTCCATAATTGATGCATCGAGTTTTGCACTGTGTATTCGGTCTGTGAGTGCTATCTTGATCGCGTCTCGTCCCCAGTGTCTGTTTTGTTCATGCTGTTTAACTGCTAGTTGCCTTGCTTCCTCTCATGTGATGCACTCTGTCTTGCTTCACGCTTAAACTGTCGTCCCTCCCCGTAACTTCCATAGTTTCCCGTCTTTGATGAGATACTCGGATGCTCAGTGGCGTGCTTTCTTTTGGTCTCGCAGTGGTTTATTTGAACTGATTTGCACTATTGACTCTATGACTTCTAAAAAAACAGGTTCGTTAGCAAAATGTTCTTGAAGATTCCTTACCATTTGTTCATCTATTGACGTTATCAATAGTATGTCGTTAATCAAACCTGTTGCTGCCTCCCAGTCTTTGCTTACTGTCCATGCACTGCCATCTTCTAGCCCATCATCTCGGGGTTGGCCTTCCCATTGCCTGTTGAGACCATCCGCTATGACGTTCAATTTGCCTGGGACATGACGCACATCGACTATGTTGTGTGCAATGATTCCATCTCTCCATCACGCATGTGCCGCATTGAGGTGGTCGTTAAGTAGTACGTCTTGTAACGCTTGACAGTTGGTCTCGATTTCCACTGGAAATCCCCAGACTACGTCTGAGAATTTGTCTAATCCAAACTTCAGGGCCGCAAACTCCAGCAGGAACAGTTTGTATTTCTGCTCCATGCTTGATGTTTGTTTGGATGCAAATGCAATGGGTAGCAGTTGCTCTACCCACTTCCCAGATGGTCTCTGCATGCATATTCACTGGGACAGTACTACTGCTAAGCCTTCTTGACAGCCATCTGATGTCACCACGAACGGTGAGCCATCATACTTGGGTGCTTGCAAGATTGGTTGCGATACTAATGCTGCCTTCAAGTCTAGGAATGCCTTTGTTTGCTCCTGCATCCATCAACCATCTAATTTGAAGTCTCGTAAGGTGCATCGATATGTGTTCTTGGTGTATGGGTGCGTTAATGGTGCTTCTTTCACTAGGTTGTGTAGTGGTCCTTCACACTTCACGTATCCTAGTACAAGGTCTCTAAAATGGCTAGTCAGTCCTAGGAATGATTCTGAATTGAGTGCGTCTGCTGGCTGTTTCCAGTTTACGATGGCTGTTAGTTTTTCTAGGTCCGGCTGAACTCCTAATGGTCCTATTGTTGCTCCTGCGAAGGTCGTTTCTGTCATGAAGAGGCGGCACTTTGTGGGTGATAGGGATAGTCTCCATTCTCGACAATGCTGAAAGATTTGTTCTAACTTTTCTAGCATTTCCTTGAACGTGTCTCCTGCGCTTCCCCCGTTGTCCACAAAAAGTTCCATGGTCATATCAGCAATTAGATTGTGCAGATGGGTGGCCGTCATCTCACAGAATGTTGTAGGCACTCCTGTGAGTCCCATTGGCATACATTTATACCAAAAATAACCCCAGCCTTCCACATAGAAGGCCGTATATGGTCTGGATTCCTCTGGAACTTCGACAGTGTAGAATCCCGATGCGAAGTCGAATACTGATACGTACTTGTGTCCACTTAGCCTTAATTGCTTAGCCTGTATGTCTCCTTGCGGCATTGGTGCAATGATGGTGTGTCTGTTGACCTCATTGAAATTTTGGCAGATTCTCCACTTCTGTGGTTTTGCCGTTTGGGTTTCCAGTTGCGCTTCTTGGACTTCTCACTCAGGTAGTGTGAAGGCTGGGGGTTGTCCTTGCTGTGCATACTGCTCGTTGACCTTGTATTGCAGTTCTTCTAATGTGAGTCCGCCTTGTTCGTGTGCCTTCTGTGCTAATACTGTGGTGGCGCAACACTTGACCCGTTCTGCTGGGGCCTTCTCTATTATTCCTGCGGCGAGCATTTCGTCAATTTGTCCATGTAAGAATTGAGTTTGTGGTGGTGTGAGGGCTCGCTGATGGACTCGTAGATTGAATGTGGTGCCTTCTGGAATGTTCAGACAGTGCTCTGCTCCTGGGACCAGTAGGACTTCCAATAATGAGCATGCAAATATGTTGGCATACTGTGAGATGAGCTTCTTGACCATTTCGTGTTCTTCAGGACTGAGGTCATCACCAAGCTGTACTGCTTTTATGATGTGGGCTACTCTTCTTGGGTTCATTGGGTCTGACACCCTCGTAAAGATTTATGCTTCGTTGTCTAGGAAATTTGCTGATGCGATGCCTTGTTGTGTTTCGGTCTTGTCAATCATTTTCGCTTCTGTAGGTGTGGCTTGGTTCTGGTTTTGGATGGTTGTTGAACCTCCGTTCCCTGTTATATAGACTGTGTCGGTTTCATATTCATGTATAGCCTTAAATGCCTGTAACATCGGTTTCCCGAATAGAAACTTCCATCCTCCTCCACTGTCGAAAACTTCGAATTCTCCTTCCATTCGGACGCCTGCTATATCAACTTCGCCTTTCCATGTCGCTTTTGACAGGACGAGAGTACCATTGGCCATACGCAGTCGTTTGGTCGACTCCTCCCAATTTCCTAAGCGGTGCTTTACTTTGTTGAAGACCATTGCGCACATAGCACTGACCATTGCTCCTTCGTCAAAGAGTGCTTTGACTTGTACGACTTCTCCTTGTGGTCCTGCAAATGAGATGTGTTGCAGGAAGGGCTGGCAATTGTGATGGTCCTCTCCACTTCCCGTCAAATACAGGTCAACAATATCCAATTGCTCGCTGGCAGATTGTATAACGACACAATTTGTGCATCCGACGGGGAAAGTAAGCTGGTCCTCGTGTGGCTCCTCCTTACACACGAGGACTGATTGTCCTGCTAACTGAGGTACTATATGTTCGTGGGTCGTTCGGTTGTCCTCTACACCAACGACCCATTCCCTTTTCCCTGATCTACCATCTCGTCTATGACAAAATTGATTTGTGGGGCTATAGCTCTATTGAATGTACCGAGGATTCATGTGCAATTGCTGTGCCACATACTCTCGTTCTTCAGCAATTGGGCGTCCGGTGGTAGAGGGCACATTGGTCCGATATGCCCGTGCATACCACATCTAAAACATTCGCCCGAGCAGATTTGTGCCGTCCCTGGTGTTAGCGGGAATGGTGTGCTCTCTGTGCACCTAGCGCCTTCTCCCCACTTCGCTGTCCACTGCCTCAATTGCTCCCTATATGCCTCATGTCCTGCGTCCATCTCTACATTATGCTGCAGTTCGTTGATGCGAGCCTGCATTGCATCTCTCTCTTCCTGTGTAGGAGGTTGTCCTTGAGGGCATTGGTTGACGGACATTTGGTTAGCTGCGACATAGTGTACTGGTCGCCTCAATGCTGGGTTACTGGGTGCCATGTTTCCGACTGTCCTCACAGTTACTGCTGTTCTCACTGGTGAGACATTGTTCCCAATTGATGTCTGCTGCATCTGTAGTCTAAGGACTTCCACCGGGTCCTGACGACTCTCCATTTGTGCGATACAGGCATTCTGGGCTCTCTCTACTTCTTTCCTTTCCTTTGCCCGTTTCGCCTTTTCTTGTAAGGTGTCCACGTTAATGTTCAAGATTTCGTTCAGGAAGGTGGTCCAATCTGCTGGTGCCACCGTCATTAAGTCTCGTAGTGCTCACGGAAGTGCTTCGCGGTCTGGTTGGATTAGGACCGGTATGCTCTCCACTCCTGCATCTTTCACGAGAGCTGCTAACTTGTTGTGAAAGTGAACATGCGCCCAAGTTGTGATTCCTGCTACTGTGATGCATTCCCCGACTTCCTCTTCCTTGAAGCATACCTCAAGCAACTCTTTCTGGTACTCTCTTTGGGTTTTCCTTGCCACAACTATCGCTGGCCATTTTGTCAAAAAGGCAGCTTTTGCCGTTGCCCATGTACTCTTCTCTTGAGTACCTAGGTTCGTCCACCACACATCTGCATCTGAGCCCTGCAGAGATAAACATATTGAACAGTAAGATCTTTGTCGCCTCATCTGTGATATGGTTGATGACTATGTATCCTTCGAAACTCCATATGAAGTTTGCCAAGTTCTCGTCGTCTCGTCCATGGAACACTGGTGGTGGGTTACCTGCGGGTGCTGACATTGGCTGATTGCTCCTCTGTGTCTGTTTAGGTGCGATAGCTGGTTTTGCTCTGGGCTTGGCTGGCGTTACCACTGATTGTACTGGTGGTATGTACAGGAGGACTAGGTGGTTGCGCTGATGGGAAAGGGAGGTTGTTCAATTCTGCTGGGGTGGGTGGTTGCTGTGCCAGTTGTCCCACTGGAAGACTGGTAAGAGTATTGCGGATGGCTCTGGTGCTTCTGGTAGCGAATCTTCATCATCATCTCTTAAGTACTTGCTAACTTCCTGTTCCAAGTTGTCACTGGTTCTCCAGTTCTTCCTCGTCTGTGGTAAGCTGCCGTTCATCTGCCTCCGGTGTGTCAAGAGGCGATGAGGCTGATGATGTGTCGCTAGAGCCTCCAGCTCCCGAGAGGGATTTGGATATAAACCAGCCTCCTGGTCCCCTAGGTGGTAATGTCTTTTTCTTAGCCAGTTTGTCTGAAGGAACTTGGTCATCGTTAGTATAACTTTTCGGTTCAGGAATAAGAAGGCTATGCTTTGCAACGTGTTCTCCTTGTGTTTCTTGACTCTTTTGCGCTTGTCTAGTTGGATCATCTACACGTGTACTCCACGGGGCTCCGAATTTCTGCATTTGGACTCTAAACTCTGGGCTCTGAACTCTAGACTCTGGGCTCGAAGAACGAAGAAGGGGGGTTGACCAAGTTAAAAACTTGGTCGAGACGAACTCACTCTGTTCACCAGTTGGAGTGGGCTATGCCCAAAGACTCTGCTATCGAATGACAACCAAGACCTAGAGACCTGCTACTGCCCCCGACGACTCTGACAACGCTACGCTCGGCTAACTCCAACCCAAACACCGCCAAACTCTCTCTTCCTCTCACCCTCTGCCTAGGGGTCCCCTACTCCAACAAGTAGCTATAATAATATGCTATAGTATGTAACATTGAATTGAAATTTACACTACGAATGGCTACGACAACCCTCTGGCATCACCACAATAAAACTCGATTGAACACATGAATATTTCGGAGAAACGAATAATCATAATTACTGCACGACGAGCAAGTGGTCCATAGTATCTCTTTCGCGCTGGCCTTCTGCAGCCACTTTGTTGGTCCAGGTATCCCCAACATATATAGGCTTCCCCATGCGCATGGCAGTGAAGTATCGGTTAGGAAGCTCTTCTCCCTCGGCAAACACCTTGATAGACGGCTGTGCGAATGGGGCGAGGAGATCGCGTTCCTCAGATGACATCCTGCGGAGATCAGCGATATCTGACATTTTGACAAATGTTGGTTGGCGAGCTTCGTCTGACAGGTAGTGGATTGGCGTTGATCGCATAAGACGGCACTTCTGCATTGGAATGATTGATAGATTAGCATCGCCTTCAAAATATGTGATACGAGTCTGTTTGGGAGACAACCATGGCACCCAGTCCAAGTCAGATTCATCCATGTCTTCAGTCTGCTTCTCCCATCGGTTCTTCTCGGATTCATGCTCCCATGGCTCTGATGGATCGGGCTTGACATGGAGGCGCAGATTGATGCGATTTTCCAGTTTTCGATAGTATGTTGAAAAGTCCGGGATAGCATCCTGACCCGTGTAGAGGGATAATAAAAGCGGTTCGGAGGACATGGAAGTAATGTGACCTTCGTGTGTCAAGTCTGCAGGAGCAGCCGCAAATTTGATCTCTTTGCATGGAGAATGAGAGAGTGCATGAGAGGCTGCGAATTGCGGGTGGTGCATGAAGGGGGCGGAAGGGACCAACGTCTTGATGAACCAGTGTGAATGGCTGCGATCGATTCTTGAGCTCCTGAGGATACCATTCGACGGTACTCGGACCAGTTGGTAATGCACACAGCCGCACAGGTGTGTCCGTCCGATTCGTATATCCTGACCGATGAACAGTAGCTGTGATATTCACGGACGAGTCTAGAAAGCAGGGAATCAGATAACTAAACTGAGATTTCCGTTCTACTGAACATACTTTGATAAACATGAGCTCCATCGGGAAAAGATACTTCAATGGTGTAGTTGCTCCTCAGCATGTCCGCCAATGGCTCCAATAGCTTCATGTTGGAACCAGGGCCTGCGCGTGCCAGAGATACGTTAACATCGGGTGCTTCCTTTTCGGTCAAGCGGTAGAATGGAGTGAACGCTGTTATTCCTGCAGGAATTTCCGAGGTGGTGCCATTGCTAAACTTGATTTCGACAAAGTATTCGTAAATCGATTCACTGGATATTGTCTGTAACGATATTCAGCACAAGACTAAATCGATAAAGAATGTTCTTACATCAGGACTTCTCCAGGAAGGCATTCCACTTGAGCGATAGTCTAATCCTGGTGGGTAGTTGGTATTTGGCACCAGAATTCCGAATCGAGTCGTGAAGCTTCTTGACAATGGATCTGTGCTCAACATCGAACTCTGAGTCTACTCGAGAATTCTCAATCCATACCTGCCACCTCTGCACCAGACAAGGGAGCCTTAATCTCAAAGGCAATCCGTTCTTCTTCATGTACAGACCACAAGTCCTGATTCTGGACAGAGTTCTGGAAGGGGAGCGGGACCTGGATCAGATCGCGGTTAGACTCCATAGAATTATATTTGAATTTTGGTCCTTTCGGAATCGGCGCATCTTCCCGCCTGTGAAGGATGTGCAGTCAAGAACATGAGATAAACAAAACTAGCTCACCTCAACTTCCAGAATATCCTTTCTTTGTAACGCAAGCCCAGCGCATAGCTCTCGGCATCAGGACACGGTCCATTGAGTTTGATCTTGATATCCCCCGCGATAACATCGCCGGGCATCATATCAGGTGCTCTCACCCAGGCATGTGCCCGGCACTGGGACGGTGCATAACTTGGCTTTAAAGATTCTGTAAAGGGGTCAGTGAATGGAACAGTTCTAGTAGCCAAGGCAAGCGCGAGGGATAGCCAGTTCCGCATTGCTGGATAATAGTGTGTGAGATAGAAGAGGTCGTCGAGTCCAAATTCTCCTGCCTTTGCACTCAATGACAGCATCTCTTTGAGAGGACGCGTGAGGAAAGGTACGAGAATATCTTTAGCTGTGAGTATCATTAATCATGGATTAGTGCTTTCAACATGCAGCTACGCGACATGAAGACACCAGTAAAACACCGGGGTGACTTGCTCCCACACGGCCGCAGTAAACATGCTTCAGTCAAACATATGGCTATCATGGGGAGGCGGTGAAGCCACAGAAAGACGTCGATGAATACCTCGCTCAAGAGTCGAAGGCGGTCCTCCTGGTCCTGACCCCTCTAGTTTTGCAGCAAGTCCAGAAACAGGTGCGATATATCCCAAGAGTATGATACCATTTTTAGGATACTATTTATGTAATATCAGTGGAAATGGACGAAATTCCGTGGGAAGGTGTAGACTGGCCTGTCAATGTCATCGCTGTTAGATCACTTGTAAGGCACCACTGGCGTCAAGAACGTAGTGGTCCGCTCGCGGCGACGTACTAGATGTGATGATTGGGTTACAGCGAAGCGCGACCGATGCTTTCGTCGCCCGTTGTCCAAATTTTCACAGAGGGTTGCGCGAGTGGAGCAATTAGCATCTTGTAACGGAGCTCTGGAGACTGGGATGCTAAGAGTCGATCAAAACTGATTGGCGCGCGCCGGACGACATCGTCGATCGTCATGCTCATCGAAAAGCGTATTGAAGCGATTAACACCAGGTGACCAAACCACATACAGTAAACAGGTGTACATGTTATTCGGATTAAAGAGATTCTACTGGAATTCGAGAGACATGCATAAGTATCTGAGTCTTGATGGGCACACAAGATGGACTGTGATATGATGTATATAAGGGGAATTGACGATTACTGCACCACGAGCAAGCGGTCCATAGTATCTCTCTCATGTTGGCCTTCAGTAGCCAATACTTTGTGAAGCCATGTGTCTCCAACGTATATGGGCCGTTGCATGTTACTGACGGTGGAGTATCTACTAGGAAGTTCTTCTCCCTCAGCAAATACCTTTAGAGACGGCTGTGCAAGTGGAGCGATGAGATCGCGTTCCTCGGGCGACATCAGACGAAGGTCAGCGATGTCTGACGATTTGACAAATGCTGGTTGGCGAGCTTCGTCTGACAGGTAGTGGACTGGCGTTGATTGCGCAGGACGCTGCTTCTCCATTGAAACGATTGATAGATTGGCGTCGCCGGAAAGGTATCGGTGACGAGTTTGTTTGGGAGGCAACCATGGCACCCAGTCAAATTCAGTTTCATCCAGCCCTGCAGTCTGCCGCTCCCATTGTGACTGCTCCGTGTCATACTTCCATGGTTCTGATGGATCGGCCTTGACAAGGATATTGACATTGAAACGATGTCCCAGTGTCTGATAGTACTTTGAAAAGTTGGGAACAACATCGTCACGCACGTGGAGGGATAGTGATAGAGGTTCGGAGGACGTGGAAGATATGTGGCCTTCATGAGTCAAGTCTGAAGACGCTGCGGCAAATTTGATGTCTGTGCATGAAGGTTGGTAGAACGGAGGGTAGCCTCCAAACATTGGCAAATACTGCATGGAGGGGGCAATGGAGGGAACCAACGCCTTGATGAACTGGAGTGAGAATGGCCCCTTTGGTCGGTGCTTGAGCTCCTGAGGATGCCATTCGATGGTACCCGGACCGCTCAGAGGAGATACACACAGCTTCACAGGAGTGTCTGTCCGATTCGTATATCCTGTCCGATGAACAACGGCAGTGATGTTTTCGGACGAGTCTAGAAAGCAGGAAATCAGACAGGCTAATATTTCCATTCTGCTGGAACACACTTTGATGAACACGAGCTCCGAATACTTCAATCGTGTAGTTGCTCCTCAAGCTGTCCACCAATGGCCCCATGTTGAAACCGGGACCTGACTGTCCCAGGGATATGTTAGTGCTGGGTGCTTCATTCTTGGTCGAGTAGAACGGAGTGAAGGCTGTTATCCCTGCAGGTACCTCTAAAGTGGTGCCATCGCTAAACCTGATTTCGACAAAGTACTCGTAAATCGATTCGCTGGATATTACCTGTAACTACATTGAGCACAAGGAAAATTAATAGAGGCTGTTCTTACATCGAAGTCTCCTCTGTACGGCATCCCACCTTGACGGCAATCTAATCCTGGAGGGTAATTTGTATTTGGAACCAGAATTCCGAATCGAGTCGTGAAGTTTGTTGACAAAGTATCTGTTCTCAACGTTAAACTCTGACTCATACTGTAGAATTATTAACACATACCTGTCCCATCTGCACCAACCAGAAGAGTCTTGATCTCAAAGGCAACCCGTTCTTCCTCGTGAACAGACCACAAGGCCTTCTGGACAGAGTTCTGGAAGGCCTTCCATTCCACCACATTGTAGTCCGGGTGCTGGGAAGGCGTCTGAATTCGAAGAAACACCTTACGAATGGAGTCAATAATTTTGTACTTGAAGTTGGATCCTAGTCCCCTAGGAATCCACGCATCGTGCCGTCTGTGAGGCATGTTCATTAAACTTGGGTCGAGGACGTGAGAGAAACTTGTGACACCAACTCACCTCAACTTCCAGAAGACCCTTTCCTTGTAGCGCAACCCTAGTGTATAGCTCTCGGCGGCATCCGTGCATGGTCCTTGGAGTTTAATCTTGACGTCGCCTGCGATGACATCGCCGGGAACCATGTCAGGTGCTCTCACCCAGGCATGTGCTTGACACTGGTATGGTGCAAACCCCGGCTTCTTGAATCCTAGAGAGGGGTTAGTGAACACAACAACACTAGCTGCGAGGACAAGCACGAGAAGTAGCCAACGCAGCATTGCTAGTACAGTATATCAAGATAATATTGAGGGGAAGAAATCGTGTCCAAAATGCTCTGCCTTTGTAGTCAATGATGTACAGCGTCTCTTTGAAGCGGTGCCTGAGGAGAAACATATCTATAGAATTCATCATGGATCGGTGCTGGTTGCAATTGCGGCGTACGACGTGAAGACCGGCAAGACACCGGGGTGACATGCTCCCACATCACTTCAGTAAACATACTTCAGGCAATTGGCTGTCATTTGATGAGGCGGTGAAGCCGCAGGATCTTTTGTCATCACTGAGAAATACCTTGGCTAAAAAGGTTGTCCTCCTGGTCCCGACTCCTCCAGTTGCCGAACGTCAGGAAACGGGCTTCTGGATATGTCATTTCGTAGTTATCCCAGAGCTTGCAAGTCGCCAGCTATAGCCAGGCTCTGTGCCGAAGAGAGCATATCCAATGTCCCTTCAACGTCGCAAAGACTCATTCGACGGGCGCATCGATGGCGGATAACACACGCCGAAGAGGCCATTATTAGGACGCTATTGACCAGGTACCAAAAGCTGTAGACAGGCCATCACGAAAGCGTACACTATCATCCCACCAGTGACGCAAAATCACCTGTCAGTTGCAAGGCATGAGACCGAACGGACAGCAGTCCGCTTTACAAATAGAATACTGACCGGCTCAATTAGTCAGACATAGCCTCCCCCACTCTCCCAGGAATGGCAGCAAGACCTTTTAGCCTAGATCTCCTCGAAGGAGGTGGGATTGAGTGTAGCAACTGACCCCTTCCGTCAGGCTATAAGTCGAGCAATTAGTTGATCTCGTTGCCTGGTTGGTATAGACTTGTAACGGGCTCTGAGATGCCAAGAGAATCGATAAAACTGATTTAGCGCGCCAGCCGACGAAAGTTTTCATGGATTTGATTCATGGTTCACAAGCATTGTAGAGCTTTGGAGATCTAAAACCTAGCCGAACTGTCTTTGTGGGATATTATTTCAACCATCACAGGTCTCTGGTAGTATATCGGATAGTACACCCGCCTGTCATTCATTCTGACCGCGGGAGAGCGGGGTTCGATTCCCCGCCAGAGAGTTTTTGCTTCCCTGACTATGGACAACAGCATGTAGGTGATTCGTTTTTCTTGTGCCAGAAGTATATCTCGCGATGCGGGGAGCAGTGTAATTCATAGGTTTCACATCCTCACAACAGCACAATGATGATGACACTGCTTTCTTTTTCCTACAAATTATACAGAAAGTATCTCACCACCCAAGGAATAACAAGTTATCAAAAACGCGTCGAATAAAAACGACGGCGAACAAAGGTCCTAGTAATTGTGGTGAACGAAGCGGATAACATGATGATGACGGTATGCGGGTGTAGCTGAACGGGATATGCACGGGTGACGCGAAATGAACAGAGCGATGACCAGTAAAACAGCGTGATGCAAGCGAGAACAGGGCAAGCAACAATGGAGGGGGGGTATCCGGACGGGTACTGGTGCATTTGCGCGAATCGACAAATCGAGTACGGGCAGACAGCGAGCGAGATGTGTAGAGCACTGAGATGGCAGCGTGATAGCGACAAATCAAGCGCAGAGCATGAGGCATAGATGTGGCGCATAAACAGGCGGACGAGTGTGGGGGGGAAAGGTATTTGATAATCATAAGATTGACACATAAACAACAAAATGAAAGAACAAAAAAACGAAGTTGGCGTTGATGGATGGTGTGATGGTTGAGTTGCACAGAATTAAGGTCATGATGCTCGTGGGATGAATATGATGCACGCGGGGATAGATGGTGTGGGTGTCCGAGGAATGGATATGCGTTTTCAGTGAGTGATAGCCGTGATGATGAAGAATAATAAAAGAACGGGTGGGAGACCATGCGCGTCGTCGACCCTATGAGTTTTCATCCTCACCGTCCATGCCTGCTAGCCGCTCCCTTTCTGCCTGATTCTTCACACGAATGGCTGGCAACACGGCTGCGAGAGACACCTGCTCGCCTTCTTCCCACCGTTCCAGAGCCCACTCTCGTACCAGTATGCTCACCTGCATGATAGCTTAATTAGCAACTACACATGTGCAGCTCATTAAGACGCACCTTCATGAACCGCTTGCCAGCGTATTTCTTGTAAAATGATTCGTGACGGATGGGTTTGAGGATATAGTTCAGCATCAGGTTGGCGGTCGGAATGATGGAACTTTCCGCATACGACGAGTAGTGCGCATGATTAGCAGACTAAAATCCGACAATGTTATCAACGTGATCGAGATGCGGTAATACACACAACGTACCCATTTATCATTGCCAAGAATGAGGCGTCCCAGCCAGGTCGCAGCAGCAGCGACTAGCGAAGGTGGAGTGGCCAGCAACCGCCACTCCAGTGTGCCCACCTCCAATAGATACTTCCCCATCGTCCTTGATTTTACATCGTAATCATCCGCCTTGCTTATACGCCGCAGAAAGTGCATCGGGTTCGGATAGCTCAAGTTCCAGTCAATCGTCTTCAGGACGTACCGCTCTGCAAGAAGAATCTCGGATTCGGTGTACGATGAGTCCGCGCAGTGAAGGAAGTGCGAGACGGATGGTGCGACAATCTCTTCGACCTTGGAAGCAACGAAGAGGCACGTAATGCCCACGAGCTGGAGTTTAGCGAGGGAGACTACGCGTGCCGACAAGAATCTATCGATGATGTTCACGCAGAGAAACAGAGTCTCAGGCAGCAATCGGAATCGGGCGTGTACTTGCACTAGCCAATCGAGAAGGATCCCGCGCATGGACCAGGCCAACTCTTTTTGCGACGCCATGTATTCCGGATTGGGAAGTGTTATGAGCTGAGGGTGGCACGTTAATTCAGACAAGATGACAAACGATTCGAGGACTCGCACCTCGGTCTGCTTCATGTACTTGAAGATTTCGACAACATACTCGCTGACCATCAATGGATCATCGGCATCCTCAGCATCGAGATCGTCCCACTCGTCACCGTCGGGATCAGCTTCTGGCGTCACATTGACATCGAGTACAGCCGCCACTTCTGCCTCGTGCTGGGCTTGCTCGTCTACATCGGTCTCTGGAGCGTCAGAAGACGTCCGCCGCTTCTTAAAGACACGATCTTCTTGAACATCGTCATGCGTCTCAGCCTTTAAGACGAGATGTGAAGAGGTTCGTCGAGCAGTCTGAACACGTTGGACCTCATGAGTGATCACCTGCTGGGTGTTTGCGCCCGACCTGCGGGTTGAAACGCGTCGCAAGGGCTCCGGAGCCGGTGGGTGATCATCCACGGCCATCGCATCTTCATCATTGACCGTGGGATCGTCCTTGACATCTTTCAACGGTTTTACCTCTGGGACTATCGCAGACCTAGTAGTGCGACGAGTGGTAGTCTGTCTTAAGGGGACGGTGGGCTTCGCCTTGATCACTACACCATCAAACGTTTCCTTGGCTGGTGCGGCAACTTCCTTGCCTTTGCCCTTTCCATCCTTAGCAACTGTGGCAGCGGCCTTATTCTTGTTGATGTTCTTGGTTGTGACTTCGCCAAGAGCCTCGCGCTTACGCTTGCCCTGAAGAGCAGGGTCGACTTTGTTCTCATCGTTGGCCCCGACTTTTGCGCGAGAGGCGGCGGTAGCGCCTAAGGCCCTAGATTGGAGCGTGGCAGTAGGAGCAGGAATAGCGGACGTAGATGGGGGCTTCACACGAGAGGCGATACGAGATGGGCGGGCGTTGGCATTTTCGCTGTCCTTCTGGACCGCCGTACGGCTAACCCGCGTCACACGGCGAGTCTGTAACATCGATCAGCAACAAGTCCGCCGCGATCAAGGAAAAATCTGAAAAGTAGGGGACTTACGGGTAAGTTTGAAGACATGAGCTATCTAATTGACGCAGAAGGTACTCTATCTGTGCGTGCAGTAGATGGATAAAATAGAAAACGAAGAGCGAACGAAAGATGAGAGGAACTACTTGAACTATTCCAGAAATGGCCATTTTAAATTTCAACCATCCACACATAATACAAACAAACAAACGCGTCCGCGTTTCGTCACGTGACAAATGCCATTGTTCACGCGCGCGAGGGCGCTAGCCTTTGGACGCAGTCCATTAACGTTTATTATCAGTGGATGGGCTGCGCCAGCTTGATTGTGGTCGAATAGAAATCACTCTGGGGACGGAGACCACCGTGGCGTTTCGCCTCGCGGGTCCCGCATGGCGTGCACAGTTATGTGATCGGTTGTCACAGATTCCCATCAGTGCGCTGGCGTACATAAGAGATAACTAATCTGCGCTGATGGCCCCTTGCTTAGACTTATCTAGGTATTAAATATCATTCTCAAATACGAGTATCATTTGTCGCAAAAAAGAGTGATTTAATTCATAACAATTCCAATATATACAGCAACGAGGAGGCGGAATACACGATCCGCCTAAACGCCATCACTAGAAGATTCCAGTCCGAGAGATCCGCACGTCCAAGAGAAACATAACCGCCCGTAGAGTTTCCCGTGCCCTAAAAGGGCAATCTTGGAAGCAGAATACAGGCAGCGACAAAACCCCAGGAAATACATCACCTCATCAGGATCCCTGAGGGAAGGCGTCGCAGCGGAATGATGCAACCGAAACCAGGACCACCGCAGTCCAAAGGAAAAGCTTGTAACTAAAACGCAAATCCTGCAACCGAATCGCGAACACTGAAACCGAGACGCAGACATGAAACGGAAAAGAAGGATAGGGAAAAAAGGGAAGAAGGAAAGAAGGAAAAGAAAGAGGAAAGGAGAGAAGGATAGGGGGAAAAGGAGAAAAGGAGAGAAGGAAAGAAGGAAAAGGGAGAAAGAAGGAGAAAGAAGAACTCTGCAAACGAGACGCACTGAAACTGAAACGCGAGCTCTGAAAACTTGATGCATCAAGAGTCTTCGTGCTTACGACGAGTCTTTGGTATCGCGTCGTCCTGATCCAGACCTAGCTTCCGTTTCACAATTGATTCCTCGAGAGGGATAACGACGGAGCTGGCGGATAGCCAGGAGGGACGAGCGATGGGTATACCGAGACCACGACGATTAATGACTGGCCGCTGACAGACATCAGACTGGATACTGGGATATGCGGAAATCGCATCCGCGAGAGGTGAGTTCGGCTCAACGTCGAATGCAAAATATGTGCATTCTGCGTTGAAACGCGGAACCCAAGAGGGCATCGTGAAAGGGGGAGAAGGGGGAGGAGAGAGCGGAGGAGAGCGTGGTGAGGATGGGACTGATGTATGCGGCGTATCGACCTCGCAAGGCAGCGATACTACAAAAACAGTTAACCATCAAGAATGCCAGAAACCGACAAAAGCTTACAGTCAAAGTCATCTGTTGATGCCATCGAGTAGCAGGAGGCCGAGGAAGCGATAGACTCATCGTCAGAGTCATCTTCAAAGACCGAATTACAGCTCTGAGCAGCCGAGGAAACTTTAGATACGGCTGGAGGAACCTCGGGCTCTTCTGCTTCCTCTTGAATGACTGAGATGGCGATTCCTTAACAGGCAGTCGAGTCAGCGCCAACCAAAACAAAGAGATAATCGACCTACCAATCCTCTTCTCCACTTTAGTCAGCTCCGCCCTCATCTCCACATACTGGCGGAAGTATTTCTTGTTCTCGTCCTCCAGCTTGTTGGAGGCTCGGTTGGCTGCTTCGACCTGATCCCAGAGGCGTGTGCGTTGGGAGAGGAGCCGCTTGATGTCATCCCGCAACTCTGCGTTTTCGTCCGCACGACGATGCAAAGCTGCACACTGATCTCTGAGACCTACGACCTCAGTATACGCAAGCGTGAGGCGTTCCCTCATTGCGATACTCTGGTCCTCACTTAAGGAATCGGTAGCTAGAACGTCATCAGCAAGGACAGTTGCGGTGGAACAAGATAACACGTACTGCTCGAGGCATTACCATGGAGTATGACTTTCCCGTCCGGAGATATGATCTTCAGCTCTGGAATACCTGTTCGGAGAGTCAAAAGACGGCGAGGAAGATGACGAACGAGCCTTACCTGCAGCCGCCCTCTTCAACTTCCGGAGCTCCTTCTTAGCTCCTTCCAACTCCTTCTTTGTCCGGATGAGCGTTCCTTGCAACACTTCGACTTCTTCATCATGTTCGGTCTGCAAGTCAGATGAGTCCTTCCTATCTGCTGTGAGTTCGTCGCGCTCGGCCCTCAGATTCGCGACCTCGAAACGAAGCGCAGTATTCGCAGATTGCAGAGAGGATAACATAGACCTTTGGGAGCACATCTTGGCAGTGGCATCCCGGCACATAGAGTCAGCCTCATCGCGACGGACCTGCTCGATTTCCAGGTCACGCGTAAGTCGGTCCATGTTGTTAGCCAAAGTCACGTTCTCGACCACAAACTCATCGATTTCAGCGTGCGCGGAGTCAAGAGCGTCCTGCACGCGCAGGAGCTGCTTCAGAAGAGCGGCATTCTCGTTCCACGCATCGGAGAACAGTGCGTGGACGTGGTGACGAGGGCCGATCGGGGTCTGATGTAGACTTGGGTTAATAACCGAACAGCTGATACTCCACTGCAAACGAGGCTCAGGGAGGAGACCGGGGCCATCCAGAGACGCTTCTAGGACGGCCGGAGACGATGCAGACGATGGAAAGCGTGACGGTATGGAGACTAAAGTACATGTGGCTGGCATAGAAGCAGCCTTGGAGGGGAAAGCTGCCTCCTCCGCTGCCTGAAGCATGATGACCGAAGTGGGATCCTCAACAGTCGGGGGGTTGCAGAGGCAGTTGTAGACATCGAATGCCAGCCCAGCGGTGATGACGAACAAGTAGAGCAGGATCAAGATAACAACCTTGAGAGTCGAAAGGACGAGGACGAGCGTGGAGAACGCGGAGGAGCGAGAAGGAAAGCAAGGACGGCAAACATAACACTGGTTGTCGGAAGACATAGTGATAGATAGATAATCGTCTGTATATGCGTGTATGCAAATATGCGGACGATGAGAGTGAGCAAGAAAGATGTCCACTGGCGTTTCAGCTCTCGGGAGCGGGTTTTTATATCCTGGGGGCTGACATCTAAAGTCAGTCTATGCCAGCCTCATACTCACCATCGTTTCAACAGATTTCGAACCGGCCTGCAATACTTATTTTGAATGCGGCTGACAAGATAAGCTAATTAGCACTCAGCCACATTAAAGCAAGACTCAGCGGGTTGAAAAAAAAGAGCAAAGTTGGAGATCTTGCCGTGCAGCATGTAGATGAGAACGACCGACCAGCAACGCGAGTCTGAGGCGTTTGTTTGGATCAGAAGCTGTTGCCAAACAAACCAAGTCCATGGCTGCCTAGCACCTTGTCTCTCATTAGTACTCTAGTATTAGCTATAGTACTTACTGTTCAGCGCTGCAACGTTGTAATAGTCGAACAATATCTTGAAGTTCGTTGAAAAGTTCAATTTGTTTTTCAAGCTATTCTTCGATCGGTTATCTTTTTTTTGCTTATGTCTTCTCCATCTTTGATGCATCTATTTTCCACATGCCTTTGCCACTCCGCGTCGTTGTTCCCTTTCCGCGTCGCTTTCCGAGATGATTGAGCTGATAATCGGCGTGATGGGCACGAGAACACAGCCGATTTTTCTCTGCAAATGCGCTCTTCAAGAATTAGTCTTGCAGTTCTGTTGTCGTATTAGCCGCGACCCATATAGCGCGCAGTACGAGCACCAATGTAAGTTTGGTAAATGAACCTGATATCCAGGGTGAGACAACTCTGACGTTCATTGTTGCTCCGCAGGTGACAGTGTATGAGCAACGCGGAGAAGCGTTGAATCTCATTCGTCGCCTTGAAGACTCAGTCTGGTTTGGTTTTCAGGTTCGGCAACTTCAATTGCCTTGTGTACCAGCTGGAGTGGTAAAGTTCACGAAGTGAGCATGGCTTACTACGTCTTCCCTGAAAGCAACCGCGCTCATCTATGAATTATGGTGAGTCGCCCATCTTGAGGAAGTATTTTTCTTCTATTGTATTTCTCTGATACAAAGTTCCACGTTAGGACTTACCTCTTCATTCTGCAATGTATCGCACAGAAGAGTGGCCCTTGGAAGTGAATCTCCGCTACATGTACGTCAGTAACGTCATCCATCTACTTCCCAAAGTCAGGACATAATATTGCATCGCATAGTGTATGCATACTAAGTTTCACTAACTCCTGCTCAGGTCCCACTGTGAGCTTCTCTCGTGTGAGGCCATCTTGCACTGGTTCGAGAGGGTTTAAGGTGACCTTCAAGTTGATTTATACACTTCCGTGGCTCGACAACATATTCTAGAATCCAGAATGACAGACACCTTGCTTTCACTCTATAATGCGACTGACCCGTCGAACTTGATGGCGTTGATTGGTCCAGTGAGATGTGACTTTTACTCCAGGCTGATACTGTCACATGCGCGATAATTGCCATGCCAGTGCTTTCTATTCACACAAGTAAGGACGTTCATGGTTCATGCAGACATTCGGTCAGTTTCACCTTCATTATCCAACTCCCTTTTCCAACTCCCTTTTAATTTCCCTTCTCTTAGCTCGAGCACAATTTGTCAACCAACTTCCCGGCTCTCTAGAAGCGCGCGGAAATGCACTTTCTCGGGTTTCTGTGGACCAAATGGCCTTTCAGCCGCACTGGAAGAATTTACCGATCAATTGGGCGTCAAATGGAACAGATTCATGGTTTTCGCACGTTTTGCATGCGCCCTTTTTCATCTGTAGGCGCTTATCCTCGGCTGTCAAAATCCCTATCTACATGTCAACTCTGTGTGACATGGGATTACCGATGGCTTCTTTTGGTACTGCCTGGTCGAATGCCCAGCAATGCGATTCCCCGGAAGGCGCTGTGAGCTCATCTCCAAACCTCAATCATCGTTTGACCCTGCATGCATCACAGGATACAAGTTCTGTCTTTGCAATTGCAATTCCTGCGTTCATGCACAGCCCTCCTAATCTGACATGGTGACTCGATCTCTTTCAGCAGGAGTTCTGACCCTCATCTATGCTGCTGTCGATATAGTGTCACTCGCTATTGTGGCTGATTCAACTCTAAATAATAATATCACCCTACTACCATCTATTTTCAACATTCATCTCTTCGAACTCATCTCACGAGCTACGCTGGGCAGAGGATGTCAGTTCGCCGGAGATTTCCCGCTTACGCACTCCTGATTGAAGACCACCTGTGTTCATGCTTTCGCTGCTTATGCGTAGGTAATCGTTTTGACATCGTGTTTCCTTTCCGCGGAATGTGTGAAAGACCGTCGAAGAAGTGTTACGACCAAACCTTGATCAGAATACCTTATTTTCCGCCATCAAGCTGCCATCTTCTTTTTCCGGCCCGTGTTGATACGAAGTACTCGTCGCAACATCCATGCAGGCGAAGGCGGGCACGAGTGGTGTAAGTATACATACATGTCAAGTTACTTTTTTTTCTTACCTGTGTAATTTGCAGCTGGAATTCAGACACGCAAGAATTCGAACTAGCGCTCCCACCAACATGGCCTTAACTCATCGTTACCTAAACAAGAAAGAAGGAACCTCTTTGCCAGGTTAGCCCTACGTCCCTGGCCATGCCCTGACTCCATTACATGCATGGACGTCGAGACGACACTGACCTGCCGAGAATATACAATTCCGTGAATCAATATCTCGGTGCAAGTGGAACTTCATCAGGCCTACAATGTGAAGTGCTACTTCGCTAGGTCTCAGATCTTCTGAATTCTGATTGCTCACTTGCCGATTTCAGATCCTGACGCGTTTCAGAATGATGCAGATGGCACTTTCTCCGTACTTGGATATGGCAGGGGCCGGGCCAACTATGAACAGCTCAGGGGTTCCAGACCTTCTAACTACGTACCACCGCCGCCGCCATCAACGGCCCGGGGTCTCAGAATTCATGTGCGGCATTTCATTTGAATCCAGATCACTATTGGTTGCATAGATACACTTCAAGTGCGCTAGTCTGCCTGATTTGCATCCAGTCCATTACTATTTTTGGCGCGTGGATTTTGCACCTTATGTACTTACTGACATCATATTACGATCTGCTAGCTGTTGGAGTCTTAGGTTAGGTTTGACCCATATGGGTGGACGAATACTGGCTCTCGGCGAGACTTTGAAAATATCTCCACGAAGCAAGAAGCCAGAGAATACATCTATACATAATGTAGGCAAAATGACTTGGACATACCAGTTGTCGCTCAGTTTCCCCCCACTCTTTATTGATTCTGACATCTTCTTTGTGCATCGTCAGGACACGCTATGTTCGAGAAGTACCGAAGTGCAGAGGCTTTGAAGGGCACAGACTTTGCGCCTGAAGCCTTGTCTTCCGATGGGTATAAGACAAGAGCAGCCCCTCCAGGCCACCAGGAAATACTAAATGGACGGCCTTCTGAGAGGGCTGTCATACATCTTGGTGATGCACCAGATGGAGGACTGACTGCATGGCTGGTCGTTGTTGCGTGAGTATTAGGTTGCATGTTTAATTCTTTGAATTGGTCGCTGACGTCTTCGTAGTGCCAATTTGCTTCTATTTTCTACGTGAGTTTTCTCAGTTTCTTCCCCTCAGTTAAGCTCAAGACATTCCACTAGATTTGGTTTATCTAATGCATGGGGTGTAAGTAAGGTTGGTCACTATGTATTCGCAGATCATGCAAATCCCCGCTTTCAGGTCTTCCAAGCGTATTACGAGGAAAATTTACTACGTCACACTTCCCCTTCAACAATGTAAGGTGCTGGATTTGTTTGATGGAACCTTGTAACTGATCTATCCTATATTTTTACATTCTCCAGAGCATGGATCGGTTCTACGCAGGTATGACTAATTCTCAGTAGACTTCTGTAGCTAACCAGTCCTGCTAGTACGCGCTCATCTACCTTCCAGCGCTTGCGACGGGACGACTGTTTGACCTGGGATACTTCAAGATACCGTGCTTCACCTGTAGCTGCGTCATTGTTGTGTGCACCTTCCTCATCGCGGAATGCACACAGTACTGGCAGTTCTTTCTCGTACAAGGTCTCGTTTTTGGAATGTGTTGCGGAATCATAGTTGGCCCCGCGCTTGTCGTCGTCTCGCATTGGTTCCACAAGAAACGTGGCCTTGCTTTGTCGCTTACTGCCATTGGGGCGTCGTGTGGCAGCACCGTGTTCCCTGTAACGGCACAAAAATTGATTCCGTTGATCGGGTTCGTTCGACCGATCATAGACAATCTATGTTCGCTTATACGCCTTCAGATTTAAATGGACCGTCCGTGTATTTGGGTTTATTCTGATCGCTACTCTAGGAGTGGGCAACATAGTATGTCATCAGCACCTGTGGATGACTCTTTCACCAATGTATTTTCCCGAAGTTACTAAAACGGCGGCTTCCGCCCGTCAATGTTCATGGGGGACTCTTTAATCTCAAAGTATTCCGCAACATGGCATATTCCATATATTGCATTTCTGGAATAATGGTATTTTGGGGACTTTATACAGGTATGTTCGTGACAATTACCACGGTGGCTTTCTGATATTCTGAATTGGTTCCGCCAGAACTAACATATATCTCCGTGAGCGCCATTGCAATTGGCGTTTCCAAAGACTTTTCATTCTATATTCTCGCGATCGCCAATGCCTCATCTACGTTTGGACGTGTGACGTCTGGCCTAATGGCAGATAAAGTCGGTATGTCTCAATATCAGTGGACTAAAGGAAGATAGCTTGATACTCTGACAGGCGCACTCAACACCATGGCAGCTTTCACTGCTGCTGCTGGAATTGCAACATTTGCCTGGCCATTTGCTAGAAATGAAACCCAGCTCATTGTAATATCCTCCATCTACGGGTATGTGCGGCACGTGTTCATGACTGGCTGCCAACTTACTCCATCCAGCTTCTCCACAGGAGGATATGTATCTCTATTCACTATAGTTGCCGTGGAAATGGGAAAGATTGAAGACGCTGGGCGCCGAGTGGGAATGTTCATGTCCATTTCTGCCTTTGGAGCCATTGCAGGTCCTCCAATATCAGGCGCCATCAGTACTGCATCAGGAGGGTTTGTCGAAGCCGGTTATTATGCAGGTACGTTTGCTATTTGTACAGTCTTTGCGTGAGTGTTGATCTTTTCCAGGTAGCATCATTATGTGTGCTGTGGTATTGCTACTTTGGGCGCGATACCTGCACCTCGAAAGTCTACAGGAGAAGTGTTGATGATCCATTCAGTAAAACGAATGACTCAGCCGTGTTATGGAACAAAGGTTCCTTTACAAAAAGGGACCATCGGCATAATTTATAGATGGTGCAGAGCACAACCGACGATACTACGTGACATATTTAGTGTACTTATATGCAACTCACAAGGCAGTACAGTGGCTCACAAGCTTACTATGTAGGGACTACTATTATTCAAGGACCTACTTAGCCACTGAGTACTGAACGGCGGAGTACTAGATAATTCTGGGCGAAGTATATGTAAGTAGTCAGATCAAGACTTCCGAGTCCTCCGAGTCTGCAGATCACTTATCCATGGATCGTAATTCGCATCGTCCACGACAGCGTGACTGGTGAAACAACCTGCGAGCCCCCAGTGGAACTCGCCGTCAAATATGTCTAGAACAGCATTATGATATAATCGAGATTCAGGGAAGCACGAAGTCTTTGAGGGTATGTATATACCAGCTGAAGTTTCACACAAGTGCGGCACAACTCGAAGCCATTGATTCCCACTCTCTGACCCAGTTCTCAGTAGACTTACGCAGTCGGCATTACTGATTGGCACGGTCAAATGACACACACGAAGTGACGATAGTACATTACCATCGGGAATAAACTATTACATTGTAGGCTCACTGCTCATGCTCTGCAGTAAATCATGAACACTGCAGCCAAATATTGGTAAACGGCACATGTATGTCCCCTCGGCTAGAATGAATGCAAGAGACCTCTGCTTAGGCGAGGCCCACGGGAAGATAAAGCTTCTGCTTCTGCTTCTGCTTCCCCTTCTTCCTTTTCCACCAGACATATCTTCAACCTTTCTGAGAACACAAGCACTGACGGTCGGAGAAGTTTCCCAGAGAATGTCTCGAAGGGACCGATTCCCTTTAACCCTTTCGAGTGAGAGTTACAAGACGAGGGTAATTCTGGGAATGCAGCAGATATAAGCGATGGCGGTGGCATACTTTTCTTCGCGGCAGCGCCTTGCTGTAGTGCAGAGGGGCTGGTACCGATGTCGACACCCATAAAGTAGAAAACCAGACGTCCACAGGATGTTCCGCCGATGTTAGTTGGAGTGGGAGCGGAAGAGGTCGATGCAACGCCACCCCACACCTGTGACGGAGATTGGGAAGAAGACCCTGTGGCAGTAGCGTGTTTCAAGTTTAAGACGGAACCAGATACCATACAGGCAAAGCCAGATACCGTTCCTAGGTTACGATGTTTGGCGCCTCGGAAATGCCGGAGGTACTAGCACAGTAGACGGAGTCCCGACTCTTGGTTCGTGGGAGTAGCAGCCATCCGTCTACTGACTGTCGGGGATCTCGCCATCAGATTCACCGCAATACAAACACGAGTCAGAACACCTCAATTTCAAATCCGTTCCGAGAGACGAGCAGATAAGACTTCTCTTCTTCGTCAAACAATTCGACGACAGCATTGACGCTCCCTGCTGTATCAGAATGTTCCATATAGTTGGGAGATCACAGGCCGTCGATCCGTTGACGCGAAACCCGCGGATGACAGCTTTGGCAGCGACGATTACGGTGGCGGAGTTCGGTGCAACGAACGCTACATGATGCCTATGATGAAGTGAGAATAAATTCATGGGGTCCGGGTTCGACACTATCCTTACTAAGCTACGGTAGGATAAAACCTTCCCCGTTACGTTGTGGATATGACGATCTTCGTTCTGTGGCGGCAACGTGTGAAGTTGTTGTTCCCTATCCCCTCTTCGTCTTCGTGTCTTACGAGGTCATATTTGTGCTATGGACTTCGACCTGAGGCCTGATGTACCGTGAGAACGATTGTAGATGCGAATACCACACATTTTGAGCCCGACAGGCGGCTTGCAAAATGTCTCGATTAAAATGTTGCTCCTAAAATGAGGGATCACAACGAGTAAATACATAGCGGCCTATCAGTACGAAGCAGCAATCAACAGACAATATTGAAAAAAAAAAAACTGACTGTTGATCTCGTTACTTGTATATCTCCCGCTTGTATACAGTCCGTCATCACTGAAGAGGATTCTCGGCAGAACCGTGGCGGATGTATGACAACTTCTACTTATCATTTTTTCAGCACCTGCTTGTGAGAGTGATGCGGCACTGACTCTGGTGCCGAGTAATAAGACTGTAACTCTAGTCTTCCCTAGACAGACCATAGACGAATGAAGAGCTGAACACAAGCTGAACATGCAACTTGAGCAGCTGAGTTTGAATTCCAGTTGTTGTCGCCCGACTCGAGTTTGTTCTATCTAAACGAACGTTTATGTAGATTTGACGTCCGACAGCGTCAGATACCCAGACCCTATTTTCGTGTAACGATGAACGCTTCTCGGGATCGATATGACCTCGCTGACTACTATGAGTCCTTCGACTATGGAAATCGCTTGCAAGGACATCAGTGAGCGCTCAGTACTGTGTAATATTTGTGCCCACACCACACCACCTTCACGTGCAGTTTGATATCGCCTCATCCAGTCGCAGTGTAGTCACACTGATTCTGAATCACCCAAAGATGAGCGTCTCGGTAAGTATACATACATGTCAAGTTAAGTACTTATTCTTGGTTTTTTATCAGTGTAATTGTCACTGGAATTCCATCAGTGTGACGACACGAAATATTTCGAGAGGGGACTTGCTACTCCACCGACATAACCTCGGGCTCCGAACATATCTCACTCGGCGTTGCTCAATACCTAAACCAGAAAGAAAGAGATATCTCATGTCCTGAATTTACACTCACCTAACTAGCCCTAAGACCTTAGCCACGCCCTCGCTCTATTGGACATCGAGACGACGCCGACCTGCAGGCTGCATCGAGAATCCACAACTCCGCGAATCAATGTCTCGGTGCAAATTGAGCATCAGGGTTATACTGCGACGTTAGGTCTTAGATCCCGTAGCACCGCTGATCACTGACTTGCCGATTTCAAATCCTGGTGCTTTTCAGAATAAATGCAGATGTACATGATCCGCACTTGGACACAGGGGGCGCCTCAACGTTTAACCATCAACGGCTCGGGCCCTAGGGGTGAACGAAAGGCCGATAACCCGAGGTCCCGGACTTTTTGACCACCACCACCATTGCATCATCATTAACAGCTCGTGGTCCCAGAAACTCATGTTCGGCATTTCATTTGAATTCAGATCACTCTTGATTCGATGTGCAACTCCAAGTGCGCTAGTCTACTAGTTCCGCTTAGTCCCGTTGCGGTCAACTGATTTGCGTCAAGTCCATTACTATTTTTTGTGCGTGTATTTTGCGCGTTGCCGTAGTTTCGACCCATATGAGTGGTCGAACGGAATACTGGCTCTCAGCGAGATTTGAAGATAGCTCCAGGAAGCACCAAGCGGGATGATTATTCATCTTTACAAAATGTGGGCAGAATGACTTGGACATGCCAGTAGTCGCACTGTTTCCCCCCACTCTTTATTGATTCTGACCTCTTCTTTGTGTATTGGCAGGAGAAGCTATGTCTGAGAAGTACCGAAGTATGGAGGCTTCGACGGGCACTGATTTTATGTCTGAAGCCTTGTCTCACGGCGGGTGTAAGACAAGAGCAGCCCCTCCAGACGACCAGAAAACACCGAATGAACAGGCTCCCGAGAAGCCTGTCATACATCTTGGTGAAGCACCAGATGGAGGGTTGACTGCGTGGCTGGTTGTTGTTGCGTGAGTACTTGGCTACATTTAATACTTCTTTGAAATAGTCGCTGATGTCTTCACATTACAGTGCCAGTTTGATTTTATTTTCTACGTGAGCTTTCTCAGTTTCTTCCCCCTGTTCAATAAACTCGAGACATTTCACCAGAGTTGGTTTATCCAACGCATGGGGCGTACGTAAGGTTTGTTGATGTATTTCCAGATCTTACAATTCTCCCCTTTCAGTTCTTCCAAGCGTATTACGAGGAAAAATTACTACGTCACATTTCCCCTTCAACGATGTAAGGTGCTGGATTTGTTTGATGCAATATTGTAACTGATCTATCCTACATTTTTACATTCTCCAGAGCATGGATCGGTTCTACGCAGGTATGGCTAATTCTCAGTAAACCTACGTAGCTCACCTCTCTTACTAGTACGCGCTAGTATACCTTCCAGCGCTTGTGACAGGACGACTGTTTGACCTAGGATACTTCAAGATACCATGCTTCGCCTGTAGCTGCGCCATTGTTGTGTGCACCTTCCTCATCGCGGAATGCACACAATACTGGCAGTTCTTTCTCGTACAAGGTCTCGTTTTTGGAATATGTTGTGGTATCATGGTCGGCCCCGCGCTTGTCGTCGTCTCGCATTGGTTCTACAAGAAACGTGGCCTTGCTTTGTCGCTCACTGCCATTGGGGCTTCGTGCGGCAGCACAATGTTCCCTGTAATGGCACAAAATTTGATTCCATTAATCGGGTTCGTTCGGCAGATCATAGATAACTCATCCCCGCTTATATACTTTCAGATTCAAATGGACCGTCCGTGTATTTGGATTTATTCTGATTGCTACCCTAGGGGTGAGCAACACAGTATGTCGTCAGCACCTGTGACGACTCTTCACTAACGTATTATCCCGAAGTTGCTAAAACGACGGCTTCCACCCGCCAATGTTCGTGGAGGGCTCTTCAATCTCGAAGTATTCCGCAACACGGCATATTCCATATTTTGCATTTCAGGGATAATGGTATTTTTAGGACTTTATACAGGTATGTTCGTAATAATCACTGACAATTGTCTCTGTCATTTTCTGATATTCTGAATTGGCTTCGCTAGAGCTAACATATATCTCTGTGAGCGCCGTCGCAATGGGTGTCTCCAAAGACTATTCATTCTATATTCTTGCGATTGCCAATGCTTCATCTATATTTGGACGTCTGACGGCTGGCCTGATTGGAGACAAAGTTGGTATGTCTCGATTTCGATACCTGTCGACTAAAGGAACTTGATGTTTTGACAGGCGCACTCAACACCATGGCAGCTTTCACTGCTGTAGCGGGAATTGTCACTTTCACCTGGCCATTTGCTAAAAATGAAACCCAACTCATTGTAATATCCTCCATCTACGGGTATGATCGGCATTTGTTCATAACCAGCTGCCAACTCACCGCATCTAGCTTCTCTACAGGAGGATATGTATCTCTATTCACTGTAGTTGCCGTGGCAATGGGAGAGATCGAAGACTCGGGGCGCCGAGTGGGAATGTTCATGTCCCTTGCTGCATTTGGAGCCATTGCAGGTCCTCCAATATCAGGCGCCATCAGTACTGCATCAGGAGGGTTTGTCGAAGCCGGTTATTATGCAGGTACGTTTATCATTTGCGCGGCCTTTGCGTGCGCGTTGATCTTTTCCAGGTAGCATCATTATGTGTGCTGTGGTATTGCTACTTTGGGCGCGATACCTGCACCTCGAAAGTCTACAGGAGAAGTGTTGATGATACATTCAGTAAAACGAATGAAGCGCTGTGTTATAGAACAAGGGTTCCGTTGCAAAAATAGTTTATCGGCATAAATTATGGATAGCGCCGAGCACAAACGACGACGCTACGTGTCCTCAGGCTGTTTAGTGTGCCGTGAAGGCGATTGCAGATACGAATATGAGAATTTTTGAGCCCGACAGCCGCCTTTGGGACAAGGGGGTGTCAGCATGTAAAACCAGATATATATGCACATACCACATCATCTTTCCGTGCATTCCCCGAACGTACAGTTGGCGATCACCCCATCCAGTCAGTGTAACCACGCTGTGATTTTGAATTGGCGTGTCCTCCATCATCAATGGTATCAACGATTCATAGTCATTGTGCGGGATCATATGTCAGGAATGTACATCAAGGAACTTCACAGTCGTCTGAGGCCCTCACTGTGACCACTGACTAGTCTCAAGGTACTCAGGTCAAAGTTTAAAACAAGTAAAACCATCATGAACCCAATTGCAAAATATTTGGTTCAGACCACTGGCCTCTGTTTCGGCCGCGTTTACCACGCCTGCTTGATGGAGAAGTCTGAGTAGCCGTTGCTGTAGAGTCTAGAAAAACTATAATGATGGGCCCGGGAAGATTCGGAGATCTGTCTGCACGTGACCAACGCTGGTTCGAGCACAGCAATTATTGTTTTACAGCAAGTTTTACAGCTTTACATCGTTCCAGAATTCGAAGAGGACAGTGGATCCGAGACACTGACACAGATAGCATCATTCATAGGGCGCAAGGCAGCCATGATGTATCAACACGTGTAGAGGCGATGCAGATTCGTGCAGGCATACAATGCATACTGTGCGTGTTGGAAAGTTGGGAACGTGGGAGGGGCACCCCAAACTAGGCACCCCTATATGCCGCCCATGCTGATCGGATGGGTGTCTTATAGCACGGGCGGTCGATTGCCAGTAGACTCCCCAAGAGACCCCAACAATGGAACGAGCAAGATTGAGAAGATCAAGACGACTGAGAACTACCGAAGACCAACCACGTCGGACTGCTATCCCTCCGCCAGCACGGCCTACTCCCACCCACCCCAGAGAGACAAACGTAATACGATTGCCAGAAGGGAGTGGTCTAGGGAGGTTTCCCCTAGACGTAGGAGGACCTGGTGATGCAGTGACAAGCGTGTGTTGGTCAAGAAATGGAGAACAAATGTTCTCGGGTTCTCGAGATGGGACGATCCGGGTCTGGTCGTCAGGGACCGGGGTCCAAGTCGCTCTCCTCCAGGGACACACCAACACAGTCCACGCTATCGCAATCTCTTTTGATGGCCGTTTCATCGCAAGCGCGTCGTCTGACTGTACCGTTCGCCTATGGAGCGTACGTACTTATGAAGCAGTCAGCCCACCCTTTGAGCACGCCGATGAACTCTATTGCGTCACATTTTCTCCTGATCGCAAGCGTGTCGCATGTGGCGGGAAAGACACCAAGGTGTACCTGTGGGATATCGAGCCATACACTAAACCAGAGGCTGGTATCACCGATACCTGTGAAGAAGCTCCGGAGTTGCCGTTGGCCCCCTCAGACGAAGATGTAAGAGCTACTTGCACTATGCGCTTAATTGTTTGAAGTAGCTGACGCGGCATTATTTTAGATTCTTAACGAACTCTTGATACAGGAGGTAGAACATCGTATTGCTTATATCTTCAATACTCATAACCACCTACAGGTTGCTGGCTTCCTTCCCCCGCTGGCGCTTCAGAATGGAGTATGTCTATCGTACCATAGCGTAATATTTCTGATTTGACTCTCGCAGGTTCCACCCGACCTGAATGTTCCTTCGGCATTTAATTGGCACAGCGAAGAGATCAACGATCCCCCTGAGGTGAGTGCCAGCGTATGGTCCAAATGTCGAACGCTTAAAATATCATCGTCTTAATAGGGTGCACCGAGGAAATTAATTCACCCCGTCGAGTCTTCCGAAATCGTTCCTAGCCCGTCACCTCCCTCATCCAAGCGTAGTTTCTTGGACAGGCTACCACTATTTCGTCGTCGAAATGATATCGGTAGTTTTTAGCGAATTCGTAGGTGCATCCATGGCACTATGTAAGCAATTGTTCAAGATATCCAGATTCCCGATGAAAACTTATTTCTTTGCTGTAAGATACAGAAATAGGTCCATGGGGGCTGTACCCACAGACAGACCAACTAGTTGTATTGCAGTGTCGTATTGCAAAATTCAAGTTCAAGTTCTGTATCGATGGCATTTTGTGTCAGTTCCACTGGTTACTCTTCCCTACCATGCCTTCCTGTTGCTTAAAGAATCATTGACACGATATTTAGTCGATTTTCCCCTTGTCTTGCATTGAATTGAAAACGGGTTGGTTTATTCGCAACACGCACGTCTGCATCGTAGCGCTCTATGTACATCATTCACCCAAATTCCTCAAGCAGGGGAACTTCATTGTATTCCTCTCACCTTCACCGTAATCAAACAGACATGGTGTTGCAGGTTAACGGAAATCAATGTACGCAAGCTTACGATTTAGCACTACCTCTCTATCATCATCGTGACAGCGCTTGGCCGTGCCAGTCCCCGGTTCCTGTTTGAATCAAACTGTCCTACATATCAGACTAAAGATGCTGTGATATGGCTTCTTGCTGCTGGTGCGTACGATTCGGATGTAAGTACTGAGTATATTTACAGTCATAAGAATGTCATCACCGGTGCACAGGGAGCATATCGTCTCGACCTCGTTCCTCGGCCAGCCGATATACTCTCCGCGACAATTTAAATGTTCAAGGTACTGTAATTGATAGTGAACACTGAATTATATCATAAAGACTCTCTCGCTTTCCATCTCATGGAGCGCAAATTTACTTTGTATTTCAGCAACAGGAGCTTGCCCATAAACAATTCCTGTCCAACAATTTCCCGCGGTTCAGTGTACAGGTACCTGAACGTTTGTGTCTGACAAAACCCTCCTTCACTAAAGTGGGAGACAGGGATTCAATGTTGCGACGGTTTCATACATGCTACATCACTTCAAGTATATACACATGCAACCGACATACAGGCACAGAATGTATGTGGCTTGAATTCATGGTGGAGTTCATGTGCTCTTCGGAAGTGGCGTCTCTGCATATAGTGACTTCATAAATGCTGGAGGGTAGCGTTCCCCAACCACCCAATCCGCCTTCTCTGCAATCATACGCACTTCCTGGACTGATTCGGGACTCAACGAAACCTTGATGGCACCAAGGTTCTCCCCGAGATACTGTCGAAGTGAAAGCTATGAATGCCTGGGGTTGTGTGCGAGAACGTGACCACTGACCTTGATCTTCTTTGTACCGGGAATGGGGATGACGTCGTCACCTTGAGCAAGAAGCCACGCCAAAGCCACTTGACCAGCAGTTGCGTTGTATTGCTCGCCTATTCTCTTCAGGTTATCTGCCAGCTTCAATATGTTCGGGAAGTTCTCCTTCGAGTATCTACAAAGTACGGCTCAGGTGAGTCCTCACTAGGCATTGAAATGACGTGTACCTGGGAACCATCCGCCTGAAATCATCAGCTTCGAAGTCGTCTGGAGATTTCTTTTCATGCGATAAGTATCCAAATAATTTCTGTCTGTCTGTCGTACTTACATACTGTCCCGTGATCAAACCACGCCCAAGAGGCGAATAGGCAACAATTTTGATTCCAATCTCACGAGCCGTGTTTAGGATGTCAAGTTTTGGGTCCTCGATGTCAAGTGTGAAAGGTGAATATTCCACTTGGACAGCGGCGATAGGGTGAACTTTGTGAGCGCGGCGCAGGGTGGCTGCAGTGCATTCTGACAGCCCGAGATACTTTACTTTCCCCTGCCTGTCCAGCAATGAGCTAGAGTCAAGATTCCAGGAGACGTTTGCTTACTTGACAAGCTCTGCCATAGCGCCCACAGTTTCCTAACCGGTTTTAGAAATCTTCAAAAAGTCTAGAAAAAGACACATACTTCGATTGGTGTTTCGGGATCAGGTCTGCATGAGGACGATAATGAGGTTTTTGAGGATAATAATTTCGGCATTCTGGACATACCTGTGCAAGTAGTAAAGCTGGACCTGGTCAACACCAAGCAACTTCTGTGATTTTGCAAACGACTCGTGGACATTTTTGGGGGATCCGTCGACCCCTCGACCAGATCCATCGGTGACAGCACCGAATTTCGTGGCAAGGAAAATTTTGCTTCGCTTCTCGGGGTTCAGCTTGAACCTGCGCTCATAGTTTGTGAAGGGCTCTTTCTGTTGCAGCGCAATACGACGTACCATTTGCCAATGAGCTCTTCACTGTCCCCGTAGACATTGGCAGTGTCCCAGAAGGTGCAGCCAAGTTCGTACGCTTTATCTAAGACCTAAAAAGGGACAGTCAGCCACCAGTAACTTATAGCAGGGCGCTCCCGTTTCACCTTGAAGCGCTCTTCATCTGGTTCAGTCTGACCGTAGTATGCTGATATGCCCATGGCACCAAAGCCGATGGCGGAGACATCGTCAGTACCAATTTTGCGGGTGGAATACTCGACCATGATGTTAGATATAGCTAAGGTGGTTAATGGATGTTGGAACTCGAGAAGGCAATGTCTTTATATACCCCAATCCCCTATATACAGTGACTAAGAGTGACAATGATAAGTGCTAAGCTGACGCAATTGATATGATATCACTGTACCAATTTGGACCAATTTCCCCCGTCTTGCGACAGAACTCTTGCTTGCTAATCTGCAGTGTGTAACTGAGTCTTACAAAGTCGTTTTATTTTGCTCTACTTACGTGCCGTGCATCCCCCTAAACGCCGCAATGGCATGCCACCGGAATTAAGTCCTCTGACCCGAGAAACTTGTGACGTGAGATCCAGAATTTCATGCTCGACCGCATGTCACATGTCTCTCCAGGCCGGCAACTCAATTATAGTTTGCGAAACTGGACGTCTGAGGACTGCAGTTGGGACGAGGACATTCGATATGGTATGCTCATCGGGTTTAAGCGCTAAGCGAGCAGCTTCCTCGGCCATTAATAATTGAATGCAGTCCGAACTTGGTTTCCAGGAAGTTGACCGCAGCGAACCTTGAGAATGAAGTGTTGAATTTTGCATGCCGTGCGGCAGGCATTGCAGCCTCGTAGAAAATGCTAATGTACGAAACACTCACCAAATCGCCAACACATGGTTTTTGGTGAGACAAAAGTTTGCTATTTATACTTATTAGTGATGCGATAGTAGAGCTTCTCTCGGTTGTGCGTCGAACACTTGAAGGATCCAGAATTTTGGTAGGTGGCACAGAAATACTCGTTGCGAAAGTAGAGCACTGCCAGTACGCCGGGAACTTTTGAGAATGGGAGATGGCATGCATGCAAGTGAAAAGGTATGGCAGCCCATGGCCACTGCCAGTGGTGGACATCGCAAAACGTCTTGCAAAACACGTGTCAATATTCGCTGACCTGCCTCCGAAACAGGAAAGTATGAACGACGGTGAGTAGGCTGGATCCTGGGACCTGCATGCTTCCAATCCGTGGATTCAGCGCAGCCTTTATAGTACTAGTGATCATGGTGGAGTCACAGTTGAGTCCTAGTGCCATTGGACTTGCAAATTATTGTAACCAAAGAACTTCTCCCACTGGGAGTGGCTTTTCGCAAGGGACTTGAATGCAACGAAATGTTGCAAGACAACTTCCCTGTACTCCGGTGCCTTCATGCACTGTGGGAAGGGGAGCCGATTAATGTCAGTGGTATAAAACGTTGAAAGTCAATAGCGAGAGCCACTGAAACAAATAAGTTAGCATAATGAATGGACGGCCAATGAATCCCCCGAAAACTGGTTCACTTCAGTGGTCCAATTTGCTCGTTTTCGATGGCACGGTCCACTGAACTTGATAGGCTATGTGTAAGTCCAGTGGTGCCGCCTTGGATAGTAAGTGGCTCTTCCGCAGACATTCATCGGTTGATTCCCAATGAAATTCATCGGTATGACCATTGAATGCTTTCCTCTGCATACTTCACACAGCTCACAATACTACGGCCCAAGAAGCCCTGAATAACATTACCTACACCCATCGTCATTGATTTCTAGCTCCCTCGATTGCATCTCATGCATACACCATGGTCTAGGATGATCATATCACAACTATCTTGATAGAAGATATCAACATTCAGCGGCCACTAGCAGTACAATCCTCCAGTTGAAGGATATATCCGAGCCTTTCTGACACATACGATAGAAACCTGTCGTCAACCTAGAATCGACGAGTGGCTTTGCTCGTATGTTCTGGATCGACAAACAAGTATCGTGCTTATCGTGCAAGGATACAAGACGCTCTCGAATGCACAACTTATACGTGTCTACTTTGAAGGAATTATGGAGTATCCGCATATGTTAAAGTACAAACAGAAACTTCCCAGAGATCCCCGGTGTTGAAAAAAATACATACAGCTACAATATTTCTAGAGTCCTTACTCTGGCCATCATGCTGTGAACAGAAGCCACATCGTTCACCTGTGCAGTGATATCACAATCTGATGCGATCCTCTTGTATTCTCCGCCGCGCTGTTGCGCTAGCAAAAATGCACCGAACAGCTGCCCAAGGCGAACCATCAATCGCAAGGCTCGTAGATGAGGGTTTGAATCATCCAGTTCATGTTCCACCGGGGAACCGCCGGGGGCGTCGTCTAATAGAGACTCCGACTCAGACCAATCTGCAAAGCTTTCTGCATCATCTGCGAAGGCAGGCAGCTCTGCGAAGTCAGGCAGCTCGAGGAGACGGCGGTCCCATGGACGGACAAGTAAGAATCTCTGTTGAGAGGGCCTTGCATGCGAGAACTGAATCAGCTTCTCTTCGCTGGTGATCAGCAGCTTGCGAAGCCCGTCTGCCTTGACTCCATACGTGAACCGTGTCTCGTGGGCGGGGCCACGCATCCGTCTGAGTTCCGTGACACGGAATGCAATGCAAGGCAGATGCAGTCTGCGGTCCGCGAAGCGAGGAGCGCTCATATTTTCAAGCTGATCATAAAGGTTCGAAGCCAACTCGACGGCCACGGTATTGCGCAGCGAAGAGACCCCTGTCTGCATTTCGTCTTCAGACAAAGATGGGAGGGCGCACGGCGGAGTTGCGTATGAGGAGATGTCGGCTGGAAGACAACTGTTGAACGGGGATGGTCGTCCTACCCAGTTGAGGGCAGTAATGTCGCCCGACTGAGCCACAATCTTCTCCAGAAGCCGCCCGAGCGCATTCTGCTTATTCTCGCCATAATGGATAGGAAGTCGGACGTCGAAGATCCCAAACAATGAATATGCAATGTCTTCTGGCCTAGTGGTGACGCGCGCAGACACCCATTGGAGTTTCTCTCGAGCGTCTGTCATCCCCGGTTCGAAGGCGATGAGTGTCCGTGCATCTATGCCCGTCGCATGCTCCAACTCATCTATGATCTCCATAGACTCCTTGTGGTTAGTGGATTCATCGTTGAGATATGGAGTCCAATCTTGTTGGTAGAAGCGAATGACTTTGGGTGCCAGGAACTCCGGGACGGTCCATCCTCGGGTGTTCCAAGCGCTATTTGCCAGTGCGCCAGACGTGGATGAAGGCGGAACATCCGACAGGTAGACAACCGTGAGCGTTGAATTGCGATACCAGGCAAACATTGAGTCGAGTGATGTTTGGACTTCGACATTGTTCGTCTGGTCAATGCAACACGAATCCACCCATGCCCAGTGATACTTCGCCTTACGCGCAAGTTTGCAGAATGATTGCAACTTCACGAGAGCGCCAGCTAGCTTCACGAGAGCGCCAGCTGGCTTCAACTCGTACACGACCTTGTCCTTGATGTCGTGCAGCAATACCTCGATCCCTTCCCACCTATGCGATAGCATAGCGCACCGGAAGTACATCTTCACCGCTTCTGTGATGCACTCCGTTCGGAGGTGAGAGTGCTTCATAATTGATAACAGAAGTTTCTTGTACTCTGTGCTCATCTGGAAGGCGCTTATCTGTGCTTCTCTATTGCACAAGAGCCCGGAAGTGGTGTTGAGTAGACGATGCGGGGCCATATCAAGTCGAACATCGATGACCTTTCGAATAGTAAGTTCTGCATCAGATTGACTGAGATATTGCTCGCGTAGCTCTGAGGAAAGAGTTAAGAATCTTGATGGATGCGTGACTTAGGGGCTTACTTTGTATTTGCTCGTCAGTAGCACTGTCCAATTTCAAGATCATCATTTCGAAGGCCTCGATAGCTTCATCGTAGCGTAGTGCACCATGAAGTGCTGCATGTTTCACCTCATATCCAACATGAGACGAAGGGTTGAGTTCAATGACCTATGCATCACAGAAGTGAACATTGGCTAGAAATGGTAGATGTCATCGCACCTTTTGCGCGTCGAGAAGCGCATTTTTCCATAGCAATTTCCCCGAGTTGGCCTTGCTGCGGTTTGCAAAGACGGTCTCGCTTGCGGAATTCAGGTCCACTGCTACGGAGTATGAGCTAATGGCCCTGTCGTAATCTCTTTCAACGAGGGCCGCCTCTCCGTTGGCAAAAGCGAGCGCGCTGCATTCTTTTTTGAAACCTGAATGAAATGCGGGTGAGGATTGCAGCCATCAGAACATTACAGACTCCAAACTTGCCGTTAGACCATTCAAGGCAGCTGGCCTTTGTGCTTTTGTCGCACATATCCATCATGTGTCGGTAAGATTCCGCAGCTTCGACATATCTGCCTGCCTGCCCGACGGAGTGCATCGCACTGATTCCGGCGAGCATTTTGCCACAATGACTTCAGGTCCCATCCAAAGAGCTGCACAAAACACAGAGTTCGACGTGAGAAGTATGTTCAAATGAATCATATCAACGTACCACCACCAAGTCCTTATAAGTAGAATCAATGGCAGCTGTAGGTGAGAAGGTGGTAGCGTTGACGGCGGCAGTGAAGTGGTTAGCAGCTTCGTCGTGAAGCGCGCTATTCGAAGCATTGATTCCGAGTTGAACACATAGATATGCCTGATGTACGAAATTCAGAAAAAATGTGTGATGCGTGAAACTTGGGCTTGATTACAATACTCACTTCCACGACACGACAAGCAAGAGTATCATTGTTCGGAAAAGTAGTAGCTAGCTTCCGGACGCGGAGAATTGCCTCTTCATATTGATTTGCATTGAAAATAGTGATGGCCTGGAAACCGTAATGAAGCATGGAGTATGTAAGGAAAATTTAACATACCTTGATCAAGAGAAGGAAATGAATAATCTGTGAATCTTGGTTCGTGAACATGAATGCGAGGTCAAATGCTGCCCTCGCGTCCGAAACCCGCCCTGTTCCGCATAGGGCGATACCCTCGGAGATATAACCTGTCAAGGAGGGCTGGATGGCAACAGACTATTTTATAACAGTTAGTGTTTTGTAAGGGAGGGATGGTGGATCAGTCTATCTCACTCTGATTGCATCATCAAGTGCATGGTCCCAGTTGTGTATTCGTGACCTAACGAAGGAACGATTGGCATACGAGGTGTAGTTGTTTGCATCGGCGTCGATTTCTTGTGTGAATAGCTCTTCGGCAGTAGACAAGTCCCCCGTCATGCATGCATTGCGGGCGGTCACGTTGACGGCGAGAATCTGTGACATCAAGCAGGTTCAATTTGTGATATCAGAATCAAGAATGAAAACATGCCTCTGAATTTAGGCCCTTGGGTACTTCCCACTCCGAGATCTTGTTAGTATAACCTCCACTGAGGATATGCTTGCCGTCCATGGAGAAAGTGGCACACAATGGCGTGGCCGAGTGCTCGAAGATCCCGATGGTTCGTTGATCTGAAAACCGCCACATACGGACATGTTTGTCTTCACATGCGGAAATAAAATGAGTCCCCGAGGGATGAACGACAATGGCCCAGATCCTGCCATGAGTGTGGCCCGTCCAGGGGTCACCAACTTGCTTCCAAGTGGATGCATCCCACACCCGTATGGTCCGATCATTTTCATCGCCCCCGGAGAGAAGGCGTGTGCCATCGAGCGTCCACGCGAGCGACAAGTTCCAATGTATGTGACCCTTGAACTTTGCAACGCATTTCCTCGTGCCTGTATTATAAATTGCGATCACGTCGGTGGTTCCAATCGCAAGAAGTTCGCCAGACGGCGAATACCGAACGCAATGGACTCCCCAATCACTAGGAGTAAACTGGATTGGAGTTCCTTGCATCTGCCATGTTTCTGTGCACCACAATTTCGTCGTCGCATCTGCTGAACCGCTGGCCAGCATTGTACCATTGGGAGAAAAGTCTAGCGACTGGATATAATTGGAGTGGGCTGTGATGCGTTGGGTGAGAGGCCTCCCAGTTTCTCCGTGCCAGGCGATGAGCCCTCCGTTCACGTCAGCGCTTGCTATAATTTGCCCATCTTGTGATATCGCCAATGTCCGCACCCAACCGCGATGCCCCTCCATCTTCTTCAACACTTCACCTGTCTTCAAGTCCCATAGACGAACCGTCTGGTCTGCCTGAGCCAGTGACCATACGTCGTCTATCAGGGAAAACTGCTACAGCCCATATGGTGTCTGTACGATCTTTAAACCGTCGAAGGGCTGTGGTGCTTGGACTCGGAATGAGCTGCGACATGTTACTAGAGGTTGATGGTGCTGAGCTCGGTTGAGGTAAACCTGTTCGGAGGGATTGTGGGTGTCTTTTTGTTGCAGGGACGCCTGTACTGCACCTATACTTCCCACATCCCCGACTCCCACGATTAGTGGGAGCTGAGGGTTTTGTCAGACGCAAACGTCCCACTCGTCCGCACCGCAAGCCGTGGGTAGCATTTTGACGTGGTCATGACAGTTCTTGACAGGGATTACAAAGGGGTTGTACCGTTTTCGGCTCACCAAGTTGAGCTCAGCATATAATGATAATAAAGGTTTGTTCACTCGCACCCGTTTCTTGCTGGACTCTTCGAACTTGATACCAGACCTATCCAACATGAGACCATCAATATCATCATGCACGAACAAGAAGCATTAAGACAGACCGAGAACAATACAGCGCTTTCGATAGCGAAGGGATGGGAGACGCGAAGTAAATCTATAAATTAAACAGGATGAATCGTCCAAAAGGCTGACCGCCGAGTATGCATGATCATATCTTGAAAAAAAACAGCGCATATGTACCGGAGATTTGCTAGTCTCCCGTAGTCAGACCATATAGAAGGAAGACAGTACTTCGTTCCTTCTTTATTATGCCGGAGATCCAGTCCACATCGAGCCTGCGTAGTAGTCGCCAAGGCACCCAAGCACAACATCCGAGCGAAGGCCAAACACGCTTGCGATCGACATGAATTACTTTGGCTTCTGCTACTGCGTTTCAGATCCGAACGGTGGACCTTTCATGCTTTGCAATGAGGGACAGAATGTCCTGCGACGACGACTGTCATGCTTATCATAATCGTGCAAGATAAGACACTCGAAGATACATAAAATCCCTAACCACAAATATCATGAGTCATGATCGCAGAAGCGTATCAGCTCAACAACGACCGGCGACATCGCATTGGGAAATGACGTGGAGTCGAGGATACGTTCCATTTGGTCATAAAACAAGTGTTACTATCCCGTGTTTCAAGTTTTCACGTACAACGACACATCATATACCTACACCTATACCTGCATCGTATCCTCCTTCTCCCACCCAGGATTCTTCTGTAATATAACAAAGCCCTCTAGAACATGCGCATACGGGATGAATTCCTCCGTCGCCAACTCCGCGCGCTCTGTCGTCCCCAGCCGTACAGGTGTCTGATGCGTCTGGAAACCTGATATCGTGCGTGGCTTGCCTGCTTGGCCAACGACGTCCACAGCCTATGTGACACAATAGATAAGCTACGGGTGATATGTAAGAGGAAAAACGTGGACTCACCTGACCGACGCGAACCGTGACAGGCTTGGTCTCGAGGTTCTCATCGAGCGTGATGAGGAAGCGAGGGTACATAGCAGTCACGAGGAAGTATAGCATCCAGTGGTACTTATCAAGTACAACTAAGAGCGGTCATCAGAACTCGCTTACATGAATCAGAAAGAGAGTGCGACTCACAGGCTTTAGCATCCGTAAACGCCATGATCGTCGCCAGTAAACCCGCAATAGCTGGTCGGCTCATGATGTTCCTGTCCGAGAAGAAAGGGTTGATCCCAATCGTGCCCTTACCCATGTGCACGAGACCTTGAGCGATGCGGACCATGAACAAACAGTCGGGCTCCTTGTAGTAGTATCCCGCGAGCTGACGGAGCATCTGTGCGAGCCGTGCATTGTTAGTTCCCGCGCCGACGAGGCCCATTGCAAAGATGGCGTTGAGTGCGACCGCGAGGTCGTGGTCGTGGCTGTATTTTGAGAGCGTGTCGAGGACGGGAAGCTGTGGATTTGAGGCGCTGATGAGGCCGAGAGCCAGGGGAACGGATTTGCGGATGATGGGGTCGCCATAGTGCATCTGAGAACGATACCCGTTAGTATGATGACTGGACGTTGTTTCCACAAGACATACCAGGTGGTTGAACTGTCTCATGGACATCTCAGCACCAATATCCTCTCCCATGGCGATCATCGCAATACCAAGAACGGCGAACGATTGGAATGTGTCGTCAGGTTTCTTCTCTTCGTCTTCTTTCTTCTCATCCTTGTTCTCATCCTTCTTCGCCTCCGCGCTCTCAGCCTGCTCCTTCTCCTTCTCCTTGAGGGCATCAAGGTGCTCGCCACACAAGTGCAGCAATCTCTGGACCCGCAGGACATTCCCCGTGGCAACAAATGAGCATACCTCCACAAGAATCTGCGCCTGCCTCGAGATAGGGTGCTGAATAGCCTTCAGCGTCTCAAGCGTTGCATCCGAAGCATCTTGCAAGCCTGCAACTCCAACTCAACACATCTCCCAGCCCAAGCAGCCTATAAAAACGCACCAACATAGAGAAGCGCCAACCCCAAAGCCATGAAGCGTCCCCACTTCTCATCTAGTGCCTTATCATCCCTCTCCATGAGCGTCTGCAAGATCGTGCTCGTAATCTCCCCGTTTCCGCTGCCCACGAACACGAACCCCAATGCGAGAGCGCTGAGCGCAGCGATCTCCATCGACACGCCGTCGTCCGCGACCGCAGGAAGGAGGAGTGCGAGTAAGTCCTCGCGGTGAGAGCCTGCATATGCTACCCCAAGGCCCATGATTGCGGCGATTTTGAGCGGGACAGATTTGTTTTCTACGTGTTCGGCTAGTAGAGCGAGTGCGGCGTCTGCTTCTGTACGTACGCCTGCGTTTAGCAAGCCTGTAGCGAAAAATGCACCAGCCTAGATGGTTCAATAGGCATGGGTGGGTGACACGGGAGAGGTGATAAATACCTTGATCCACTCTTCAGGGGAGTATGTATATCTGTCGATATGGCTGAGACCGACATCTGTGTCCCAGAGGAGTCCGAGTCCAAGACTGGCCGCAGCGCTCATCATGCCTAGAAATGTTCATCAGTATACAAGCTTCACGAACCGATAAGATAGTCACCATGATCTTTGTTCTTGTACACCCAGCTGTTGCCCTCTTCGGCTTCCACCATCAATTTATCATTACCAAAGCCAGCGTTAACGAACGCGTTGACGAATGTGCCTGCAAGATTAGCACGAGCCGAGTCAACATTGGCGGACAGCCCTGATCCTGATCATCATTCAGAAAGAAATAAAGACCTCCACAAAGTGGAACGCACTCGTAGTTTCTAGATGACTCTTGTAGACATCCTCGAGGCTCTTCGGATCTGCAACACCCACTTCTTTTCCGAACTCCTTGAAATGTCTACTGAGCTGTGTGTTACTTAAACATTCTAGAATGTCTTCTGGCAGTTCATCTTCTGCGTCTGCGTCTTCTGAAGCAGGCGGTTTCAGCCATTCAATAGGAATTTGTGCACGTGCAAGAAGGAAAGCGAGTTGCTTCTTCATTATCCTGACCAGATGTGAGTAAATGTCGCGATTGGTGCGGATGTGACGCGACTTACGGGTTACCTGAGGCGTTGAAGTCTTGTCGGATGAGCTCAGCGTCGTTCAGGCGGATCGCGACGCTGAGGGCTTCGGGGAATTTGGAGAATCGGAGGTAGATCTTGTGTATCGTGCGCAAGAAGGTAACATCGTCAGGAGGAGGGAGGAGCATGACACATCTACAAAACAAAGGTGAGACACGATAGTAATAAGTGAGAAGGTAAACGCACCGATCCATATAAGCGCACACACGACCGAACGTGTTCGCGTCCACGAGACTTGCTATCCGGTCAACAATCTCGAGCTCCACGAACAAGTCTACAGCATCTGGTTCGGCATTGTGCCCCAAGAAGAATGTGGCGCATTCTAAACCGAGGTTGTGTAAGTCTTCGATAGTGCCAGGGACCGGATCAGGCTTCGATTTAGGCGTGTCTGAATCAGCCTCCGGTGCCGGTGGGGGGACTACTTCTTCACCGTCTTGGCGGATAGTGTACTCCTCTCCTAGTTCAGCGGCAAGATGACGAACGTATTCGTGTCCCCAAGAGCCTGGTTCAGAGATTTTGGATGTAGGAGGGAGGAGAGATGCGGACAGAAGGCGGTAGCGGAGAGTTCCTCGTGGTTCGGTATCGGAGTAGGTCATGGCGAGAACAGAGAGAATATCGGCGAATAGACTCTGCGTGGTTATAAGCCAACGTCATACAGAAATGCATTGCTCGTACCTTGTTTTCAGATGCAGGCCATGTTTCAAACAGGGTCTGCAGGCCGGGATAATGTGGGCGTAGGAACTTGAGTGGTTTGGGAACGGATGTCATGGACGACGTTGACGTTCTTATAAGTGTCCGAAGCGTCTCAAGAGCAGGACGATAGAGGTCTGTATTTAATTCCTGTAGCCAATTCAGTTACTTGCTTGTTCTAACTTGATCCATCAGTGCCCTTACCTTTAACCGTTCAATGAGCATCTCCAGCTCAGATTTGAGCTGTGCATCTTCTTCCGACTTGAAAATAAAGGTCAAGCTAATGCTGATTTTGCGCTAAGTTCATGTACGCACTAGTTCCTCCTCCTCGTCCTTGACACCATTGGCCTTGGTGTCTGGTTTCTTGTCTTCCTCTTTCTTCTTCTCTTTTGGATCCTTTGATGGAACTGCAATCTCGGCTGCTGGTCTTTCTGCCATGGCTCGTGGATGTCGCTAAAGTAAAGCTGGCTATTTGGCAAACCAATAAGTCTCGACGCGCGTCGGGGATGTGTCACGCTCCCTACAGATGTCACATATGTCCTGTTTTGGAAGCACGTGACATTACCAGTGACGGGCTGCCATCACGCTCGTGTGTGCTCGCTGTCTACAGGAGGGCCTGGTCCACCCGCACGGACAAATTTCTTGTTTCTGGATGCTTGGTTCACCTGTCCGGACAAATTGGCCTCGGAGGGGCCGAGGCCTGGTTTTTCAGGATGACCGGGACCAGGCCTTCCCACCTATATTCGGGGGTCCTAGCAGGAGGTTATCAACTGTTATCAACCTATTTTTTTCTTAACAAGTCTGCTAGTATGGGTCTCTCATACGGGGAAATTGGTCCAAGAAGGGTGACCGGTGATTACTAGCCATCGTAGATAACTGTCCGAAGGGTTATCAGGAGAAAGTTGTGGTCAGTTATCCACCGGCGGATCTAGGCGCTGCCGAGTTTCGCGGTTTCTGGTGTGCTTCGTAAAAATCTCATTGAATCACAAGCAGATCTATTATTGTAGACTCTACATCAGCCTCTACAGCCCCTACATGGTCTAGTCTACCTCAGTGAGAACCCTCTCTTGCAGGAAAGTGATTACTGGCGGAAAGGTTATGGTGTTCCTTGGTAGTTCTTTAGAGGGTGCCAAATCCTTGTCGGCGATTCACCTGCTCGCGACTGCAGAGTGGTGAGTTGAGCCAAGTGAACGTCGAGCCAGTCCGCTCGTCAGCCATCGAATTAGGTACAAGCGAGAGAACGCAAACAGCGAGTTTCTAGACAGTTGATGATCAGCTTCGAGACAATGCAATTGTGGGTCTGACATACTGCAAGTGGCTGGGCATTACTAGATCGGTCTTTGTCCAGATAACTGCACCCACTCGGCAGTTGGCACTAATGGGCTCTGACTTTCAACACGATCACTTAAGGATTCCCTGGCCATGGCAGTGCAAACTGTAAGAAAACAAGTTGTCCGGGGAGGACGACGACGGTCAGAAGCAAGGTATATTCAACTGTGGGCATGAGTAAAACACATTGTGCATGATTACGTAAGTAGTACTACTGAAGGCGAGGTTCGTTTTCCAACACGAACACGGTCACGTAGCGTCAAATTGATTGTGTCCAGTTTTACACGCATGTTCGAATACTCAGGCCTTCCAGCGAGGCGCAGCCCAGGTAGTGGCACATTCATATTTGGTTCCAGCACACCGAACAATCATCTTTTATGGGTTACTTTTGAGGTATGTATTGACGGAGACAAGATCCATTCTGTTGGCAATGCCTTGAGACAGAGTCGTAAATCAACTAATTGACCCTTGGTTCCATGTTCACTGATCAAAATGAGGAGGATAGATAACTTGAAGTTCATCATATTTTGGTCATTTGGCGAGTCAATGTTCAACCAAACAAACATTATCTTGATGTTCGTTTCGAGCGGATCGCGAGCTTGCGAGCGTTGACGCGTGAAACCGTGCCTTTGTAAGCGATCGCATGTAGATTCGCCATATGTGTGCTTCGATCACATTGAAGCACACATCAGACGCTGCCCCAGTCAAAAGGATTCAACTTGAGAATCGGCGCCTCAATTCTTTCTGCTTCTCTGCGCCCATCTCCTTTTGCCTGTTGCCCTCCCAATTTTTTCGCACCCTCCCACCTCCCTTCTGTAACTTCTAGTGTGTTTTGGTTTGAATCAGTGTTTCCTTTGGACCCCTCGGTCTGGTACGCACTGTTCGGAGTCTACACGCTCTGAAGGTTTGTGTTACGTCGATCCCAAAGCACTCCGAGCACGAGCTGCTTCCGTCGCACTTCGCGGGATCAACGCGCATTGCTCAGACCCCTGCCTTCCTGCACTGGTCTGGTAAAGCCAGACCTTCCCACACACAAAACGAATTAAAAACATATAGTCTTCACTTTGATTCGTTTATACAAATCCGAAGCTCATTTCCAATATCGTTTCCCCTCCCGATATCATATGTCCTGTCTTTCTCTCTGAATTCAATATTCGGTCGCGCGTGAGAATTCCTCATTGTAACACACAATCACTAGCATCGCAAAATAGTTTCCGACCGCAGAGTCGTCTTCACTCTCGCACCTCTAAACGTTCTCTACGAATATTAAATTCTCATCTGCTACCTACTCATCTACTCAAAGACTCGCGTCCATACAAAGGTGTCCCGTACACTGGATCCTTGTTTGAGCCCGTACGTACATAGATCTGCAGTGTTCGGGATTTAAGCTTTTTAAGTATATCTTATCTAATCGTAGCGGCGCGAGCGCCAATCCCCGACTCGGCCGACACTGAATTGTAATTATGAAGGGCGCCAGGGCCCAGGGGACAAAATTTTCAGCGATTTCAATCAAGGATTCCAAAGTTTCGTTTCGCTTCTTACAATCACTGCGTAATGTACATTCGACTCAAACCCAAATTACCAACGAAAATAGAAAACTTTTCTTTCCAGCGGGCCAATCCCATCAATGTTTGCTCCCAACAAGATCAGTACTCTGTCACTTGCATACATGATGAAAAGGGGGGCCATAATAGACCATGATATGCAAGGCGGACAACAGTTACTCCATCTGTGCAGTCTCTAGATTTTACTCAATAATGCAGTTACTCGTTAAACGACTATTGATTTGCGACTCTCCTTTTCCATCCCGGTTTTCGATTCTCCCTTTGCCATCTTCCTTCATCTTCCGCCTTGCACACTATGGTCTCCTTGCTATCATGTCTCAGATTCCTTGTCAAGGTAACACCGTTTTACGAGTTATCTACGTTATCCACCTAGATATTCACCAGTGGATAACTAGGTGAATTTCCGCGGAACACTATCGCAAGTAAAACGGTATTAAGAACATGATGTTCACACAATAACGCCAGCAACATCGAAGGACCTCCATTCTCACTCACGATCAATGACGAAAGACGATTCAACGGTATAAACACCATCATTACCATGCACGGACAAAACGCCACGAATCCCTGGTATCATGCCACGTACACTTGATCATATCAAGATGAACCTCCGAGTCTACCGTAACTTAAATACCGAAAAGCTAGCACGTCCCGTCAACAAACAGTAGGAAAGACGATCCCCGCACCTTCTATACCCCAGTCGCGAACTGGGAGATTCTTTTAACAACATGGGTATACCCACAGTTTCAACCTTCGTTGACGGTGTCATGATCCGCCCCATCATCGTGGCGGTAAACAGCCTTGTGCTCTCTTCTCTCATGTCGTTCGTGATCGCTGGACGGCTTGACTGGAGGCCGGTAAGCCCACTTTTTGTGAATCAGTCAGTCTTACATATCTTAATTGAATGCTGCAAAGATCGCAGTATGCACGACATCCGACATCCTTGCTGTTGGTGTTGACCACTTGAAGGATAAAGAAGACGACATTCGCGCTGGCGGTGCGGCTGTCGTGAAGCGCTTCGCCCCTCTGGCTTATGTTGCCCGTATTTTTCTGGCGTTGAATGCATTGCTGCTCGTGATCGCTTTATCTCAATGTCCACCAAAAATGTCAATCATCACTGTAATTTTTACTGCGCCTGCTTTTCTGTGGGCAACGCCGCTCCAACCTCGGCGGATTGGTGGACTAATCAAGAAATTCATATTTGCGAAGCATGATAAAGACAGGGAAAGTGCTTCACCGATATCTAGCAAACCATTCATCATCAAACGAGTTCCTGGCATGAAGGCTATATTCAACGGCATCATCCGAGGGTATGTGCTATTGAACCATGACGGTTTATTGTTTTTGACTTGGGGACAGTTGTGGGATATTCTTCGTCGTTCAATCAGCGCTGCAGTTCTCGCAAAAGTCAAACCAGGATACATCTCCATGGACGATCATGGGAACTGTCATCTGGTCGACGGTCAATCGCACTTGTCATTCTGTAAGGCCACCTTCTGCCCGAGATTGCACTCCCAACTTAATATCTCCTAGATAATGACGGACGTGCGTGACTTTGACGACGACTTCAAAGCTGGAGTTCCGACCATACCCGTCCTTCTCGGGTCCCCATTTAAAACTCGGATACTCTTGACTATCGTTCAAACAGCCATCATGATGGCCTATCTCGGAAACCCATACATTTTGACGAGTTCCTGTTTTGCGATCGCTCTGGCTTGGATCCTAGGGAAAGATTCCCCGAAGGTGTCCTTCTTCCTCAGTATCCACTCGCAGTCGATGTTCATTGTCATGTACGCTGTCGTACAAAGTGGTTTTCTTTTAATTTAGATCATTGCTATACATAGGGTCGCATCTCTCTTCGAAGTTCAGACCCTAACCCTAGACTCGGTTTTCCTTATGTATCTTCGGGACATCCCTTCACACACCGGCGGTTTGGGAGTTTTTCGCTATGCAAGATTTGTTTCGAAATGTCATTGATGAATTTAGCATTTTCACTATACATTTCGACATGATAAAAATAAGAAATTTAGATGAGTGGCAAAATCCTGGGCAAAATTGTACACTTTATGCATCATTTTTACACTGTAAAAGAAAGTCATTTAACCAACAGCAAGATTTGAAGAAAAATGCCAGCATTATTTATTTATTTATGTACTAAATCTCTATTCCAGCTCGTATCCGCCTGGTTGCCATGTATTACAAATGGTTTTCGCACTATCTCTCTACGGCCCAAAGTGGCAGTTGGTGGTGTAGACGCCACTTGCAGTTACAACCCTCGCGAGCCTGGTTTCAGTATGTGCCATTACCCACGTAGTACCCAATTACATCACTTGGAAGGAGTATCTGCCAACATGTTACGGTATTTTGCGTACACTTGACCATAGGACCGGCATGATACTCAAATCCCGCCTTTCACAGTGCAGAGTTTGATAAAGTACATGAGACCTCGAGCTTAACCTACCTCCATAAAGAGAAGGACTGGTCCCGCCAAGCCAACAAACACCTGGCGCACGCCCCCTTAGCCAGCCAGTGAACTGGGAGAGTACAACATGGCTGCACCCACAATTTCAACCTTCGTTGACGCTGTGATCCTGCGGCCGCTCGTGGCGATAAAACTTGTGCTCACTTCCCTCATGTCCTAGTACGTGATCGTTGAACGGCTTGACTGGCGGTCGGTAAGCCCTCTGTTTGTGAATTCCAAGCCTTACACTGAATAGTGCAAAGATCACTGTATGTTGTCACATGCGACATCCTTGCTGACCACCTTAAGGATTAAGAAATCGCCATTGGCGCTTGCGGGGCAGCGTAAAGCGCTTCGCTCCTCTGTTTTACCTTGCCCGTATTTTTCTGGCGTGGGACACATCGCTGCTTGCGATCGCTTTATCTTAATGTCCGCCGAAAACGACAATCGTGACCGCAGTTTTTACTGCCCCTGCTTTTCTGTGGGCGATGCCGTTAGAACCTCGGCGGATTGGCGTGCTATGATCAAGAAGGGGAATGCGATTCGCCGATATCTAGTGATCTACTCATCATAAAACTAGTCTCTGGCATGAAGGCTATACACAACAGCACCATCCAAGGGTATGCGTTATCACATCCTGACCGATTATTGCCTTTGACTTGGGGAAAGTTATGAGATTCTTTTCGTCGTCATTCACTCAGCGCTGCAGCTATCGTGGAAGTCAGGCCAGAACGTTCATCCATGGGTGATCATTGAGACTATCATCTGGTGAATGGTCAATCGCACGTGCCATTCTGTAATTCTTTCTGCCTATCATTGAACTCCCGACTCAACTTCTCCCAAAGATTATGACGGACGTGCGTGACTTTAACGAGGACGAGAAAGCTGGAGTGGATATTTTGACTGTTGTTCAAGCAGCCATTACGACGGCCTTTCTCAGCAACCCGTACCTTTTAGGGAGTTCCTGCTTCACGATCGTTCTTGTGTAGATCCTACATAGGCAAAGATTACCCGAAGGTGTACTTTAAAGCTTCCTCATTTTAATATGAATTCCTAACAATACATTTTTATGAACTGACTAATATCAGCTTTCATTCACAGCTCACAGTCATTAATATTGTTCACCGTTATGTGCACTGTCATCAAAAGTAGTTCTCTATAGGGTTGCGCCTGTTTCGAACGATCATTTTTGCTTTGACACGATGTTCAGACAGAACCGTCCTTATCTTTACCGGAGTTTGAATATCCACGCTTCACTTCATCGTCAGTGCCACTGGTCTCCCTCAGGCACACTGAAGTCTTGCTCACAAAGGAGTCCCAAGTGTAGTTCAGCCTGAACTTTCTTGAAAGGACAGCATGAACCAACGCTTGGCATCGTCTACTTTACACGACCGCCCTCTTTCCGCGGTTACATTCAAGCTCATCTTACTGCGTGGATAGTCGACACAATCTCTGGCTAGTTGGGTCTGAATCAGGTGTGCTAATGGCCCCTGACCCCGGGCAAAGACTCTGCCTAATGGCTACCAAACTATCCCAATGCATATACATTTGTAGTTTACAGGTCTACATGCATTGAGATAGTCGCTAGCCACGAGCGATGGTAGCTGAGCGCTAGTCGTTCGGCTAAATGTACCTATCAGTCGCACATGAACCATTTACACTCTCTGGAGATAGGCGGGGAATCCTAAACAGCGCGGGTAGGAGCAGGCTCCCCTGATGAGAGATTTCCGTCGGCTCGAAACCTCTGCTAATCCGTCTCCCCTGGTATCGGTCTCCCCTAGCCGACAGAACCATATCCTCGGAGACGGCTGACTGCAGCGGGTGCAAAGGATGTGGTCTCCCCAACGACGCTCGCTTGGACGCTGCAGCTGTCCATGGTTGCCAGCTAATGCCTGCTGAGTTAGTGCTTGACTGCTTATCTATAAGAGGTTTCAAACTATTCAACTACTAGTACCAACCAGTAAGTACCTCCAGAAACAGTCGCGTCACAGCACACGCTGCAGTTGCCACGTGTGCTAATGGTGCCTGGCCCTGGGGCAAACACTCCGAGTCCGTCTCGTAGCTAGAACCACTCTGTGAGTCTGTGTTTTTCGGTTTGAATATATGGAGTAATTCGCTAGCCATGGATGAAGGCAGCCGAGCGCCGATCGTTTGGCTAAACGATCAGTCGTGCAAGGACCACGAGTCCAAGCCCGTTGTGCCTTCGGCACAGGAAGCAAGCAGAGCACTTTGTGCTCTGCTGGAGGCACCTTTGGTACCTTGCCTCACTGTATCTACATATTATTTACTTATATCAAATCAATAATTTCTTACATCTTACATTTACAAAATATTATATACTTTTGTGTTAGTTGTGGGATGTTGCACAAATAGTGAGACTGAAGTTTATGTGGGACACTGCCTTGCCATCCCGTTAATCCGTCTCTCCTATCTAACAGAGCCCTATCGCAAACGCTGCAGTCAGCCGTCTTCTAGGAAGGATCTGGTCTGCTCAGCGACGCTCGCTTGGACGCTGCGGCTGTTCGCTGTAACAGTTGTTGGCTAATGCCTGCTGAGTCTAGTTCTTGGCTTCTAGAAGAGGTTTTCCTAACTCCCAGTACCGACCCAGTAAGTACCTCCAGAATTTAGAAACACACCTCACCGCTGATGGCTATTTAGCACCTACCCGCAGTCGCCACGTCCAGAAGAGATCCGGATAGCATGCAACGACGGGTTAGCATTGACAATGATTATCGAGTCTCAAACCAGGGTATAGGAACAAATACAATCTGCTCTTCTAGTGAAACGAGCGACGACGAGCTAGACGGGATCGGAGTTCCTTTCCGCCGTCAGTTCGAGAAAGCCGCCGTCTCGCGCGAACGAGTCGCCAAAGTTGGGGTGTAAGAGGAGACATAAAAGTGAGACAATTTCTGGCTCTTCTTCTGGCAGGATCCTGCTGCATATAGAAGAAGCACCAAATGCGTTCGCCGGGGTGAACCAAATCCCTGAGATCCAAACCACGGGTTCAACAACACAATCCAAAAGCTTCCTGAGGAGCTGGCAATCTTCTGTAATTAAAGTTGATGACCAGAAGAACTAGAACGCTGTGCTCGGGCCTGGAACTCGGAGGAGCTCGGAGATCTCGACAGGATCGTGGGCGCTTACGACTCATCGGAGTCATAATTCATCGCAGTTGTACTCGCTTGCAACGACTGCCATCTGCTGCCGCCTTCTGGAGGTTAGAAAGTAACGGGGGTAGAGAAAACGGGAAGTGGATGTATGAGGCGATATTGACCCATTGCATGGTCAGTTGTCGGATCTGCGGGAATTGACTAGTGCTCATCTCGTGCGTTACGAAGGCGAAAGCTGAGCTGCTTTTGCCCTCGTGACGCGTGATGCCAGTGCAGCTCGATGGCCTCATCAAGGTCAGACTGAACGCCCCGCTGGCTTCGGGGGATCCGGTCATATCCGGTTTTTGAAAGCTTTGGTGATGAACTTGCGACTCGGCAGGTGGTAACTGTGGCTTTGGTCGATATTCTTAATTCAAACTTGTTCATGATTTCTTGGAATGGTTTTCAAATCGGCAGACCTTCCTAGCAATCGTGAACGGGTCTTGTTCACTTTTTCCGAGGTGAAGGAGAATGGGATGGAATTCTAGAGTGACTACCAATGTTTGAAGATGGCGCCTATGAATGCAATGGTACTTAAAGCATCGACAAGCACCATACTCCATGGGCAGGACTGAAAACGTCACCGGAGGTGAGAAGATAGACCAAGTGGCGTAATGAAGAAGAGACTTGGTTGGGTCCAAAATCTGAGATCAGACGGCGGTAGGCGATGATAGTCCATCTTTCGCAAGGCAGTCGAAATGGCTCAGATGCGCTTCTCGACAAGGGCGAAGTTCGAGGGAGGATCTGTGGGTCTTGAAGGTGCAAGTACTATTAGAATACTATAGGTACTAGTATTGCTAATTGCCGCCACCTAGTGCCAAAAAGCATCAGCCAGGATAACCACTTCACGTACGATCACTCACCAGAGCTGGACGGAGGCTGGTCATACTGGGGGTTTGTCTGTGCTTCAAATATCTAACTCGAAGACAATATTAATGATGGAGATCACATAAAGCTACGCCCAATTTCTGACAGCTTGGCAGTAGCCAAAGGTTCTTCTCGTTCAGGTTGTTTCCCAATCAACGTAACTGGCAATAACGGAGGGAGCCCTTGGCCACATCGAGCGTAATGAGTTGAGCGGCTGTGTGTGTTGTTGCAGTCAAACCCTTCATTGAATCATCTGAGTGTCATCGCCAGTGCGCTGCAGTGTACTTCAAGTTATCGAGGTTCGAACCAAGACAGAACGCTTCAAATGTAACCCTAACCCTAGACTTGGTTTTCCTTATCTTTACAACTTTCGAAGATCAAAGTCACGAATAAGGTTTTGCATAGTCCGACCGCACCGCTGAAGAACAGGACGCTGGTAGAGGATCTTGTTGCGTTTCTACCCCAAGGACGCTATCTATCGTTGACGGAGAAACACAGAAGAAACACAGGAGAGTCATGACTCGGTCAAAGGTCTGTGGTAAGAACTTCTGTCTCGAGCCATGCTCATGCGCAGAAATGGGTGATTTCCACTATGTATACTCCATTTCTTAGAAACGACAGCGAGGAGGTCGAGCAGGAAAATCGCGCGACGACGACGATCGCGGTATGCTGGAAAAGAGCGACATGAAAAACGAGCGCTTCAGCTCATATTACAAGGCTCAGCACATCATTCCTGAGGAGGAATGGGATCAATTCATGGAGGCATTGAGACGTCCCTTACCTACCACATTCCGCATTGCGGGAAGTCGAGAGTGTGTGTTGTGTCCCTTCCGTACCAACTTTATTAACGGAAGCGTTAGGATCGCTCATGCTCTCAATGATGCCATCAAGAAAACTTATGTGCCGTTGTTGAGCGATGTTGTTTTTGAGGGTGAAGTTGTACCGCCTCCGTCTCGGATTCCTTGGTGCGGCACTTTTCTTGTGTATGTGCGATATGTGCGACTGACACTGCGCTTGACCAGGTATCCAGAAGACTTGGCCTGGCAATTCAATGTTTCCAAGAAAGTTCTGAGGAAGCAACAAGCATTCAAAAAATTCCACTCTTTCCTTGTACATGAGACTGAAGTCGTATGTGATCCTTTACCTCAATTTGCTCAGTCTATGATGCATGCAACAGGGTAATATATCAAGACAGGAGGCAGTCAGTATGCTTCCACCACTGTTCCTCGATGTGCAGCCACACCATAAGGTAAATTCCGCCTTCTTTATACTGTTCGGAGTGTTAACCATGGCTCGGCAGGTCGTTGACATGTGTGCGGCTCCTGGCTCAAAGGTAAACCATTTCGCAGCGCCATTACGTCCGTCCTTGATGAACCTTAGACAGCACAACTCCTGGAAGCTCTGCATTCGCAGGACACTGCGACAGCAACATCCATTCCTCCAGGACTTTTGATAGCGAACGATAGCGACAGCAGGCGGGCGCACCTCCTCATCCACCAGTCTGCGCGTCTTCCCAGTCCGGCTTTCATGGTCACGAATCTGGATGCATCGATTTTCCCTGTGCTAAGACTTCCCGTAACGACCGCGGATCCTCGCCGTGGCGTCAAAAAATCTCCGAATCAACTCCTATTTGATCGCATTCTATGCGATGTGCCCTGCAGTGGTGACGGTACGCTACGAAAGAATATTGGGATATGGAAGCGGTGGCAGCCTATGGACGGGAATGGCCTACACAGGTCCGTTTCGCACATGCGCTCATTGCTCGCCAGCTCATTTTTAACAGCCTCCAAACCCGCATTCTACAGCGGGCCATGCGCATGTTGGAGCCCGACGGTCGTATTGTTTATTCGACTTGCTCACTAAACCCCGTCGAAAACGAAGCAGTCATAGCAGCTGCTTTGAATTCTAATCCTGGTGAGGACTGTTACGAGCGACTATTAGAGTATGCTGAACCATTGGATAGATTTCCAGCTGATCGATGTCTCTGCGCAGTTGCCGGAGCTAATCAGACGACCAGGCATAAGTTCATGGGCACCTACCGTGAATCGCACAATAAATACTACCTTCGACACCTGGGCTGCATACGATGAAACCCTGTCGGAGGAACAACGGGCAGACAGCAAGATATCGGAGACCCACTGGCCTCCTGCTAACGCAGAGTCCCTGAAGTTACAGCATTGGTAGGTTTCACTGCTAGTTTAATTACAGCGTTCACTGACCGCGAAATTTTGAAAGTATGCGAATATATCCCCACCTTCAGGATACGGGTGGATTCTTTGTTGCTGTACTCGAAAGAAAGCCGCGAAAAAGTGGTCATGCCAGTGTTGCAGCGTACGTTCTAGTGCCGTCTTCTCAACTGATGTCTCACGCTTTCTCAGGAAAAGAGATGCGGAGGAAGCTGACATCGCTGTCCCGGAAGCCAAAAAGGTTAAGCTTGACCTCACTGGTCTAGCAGAACTCCAACAGAGTACTTCGTCCCTGCCTACACCAATGTCTGAGGACGACAGTTCACATCCATTGGTGTCGGACACTATCGAGGTAGATGCGCCGGCTTCCTCAGATGCAAAGAAAGACACATTCAAGGGTAAGGCCAAGCTTTCGGACCCATCGTTCAAGGAGATGCCCTACACATTCCTCGAACACAATGATTCAACCTTAATATCCTGCATGTTAGTGTTTCCACATCATCGCCGTGATCGTGGATCACCAACTCATATCATTGCAGAGATCAGCTTCATCTTACGGCCAACTTCCCGTTGTCGAACGTCCTTGTCCGCAATCCGGCAGGCGACGCCGTACGATCCTTCTATCTCACCAACGACCTCGTGAAAGCTGTCATTCTGAACAACGACTACACTCGTATGCGCCTGATGACGAGCGGGACAAAAGTCATCACCAAACAAGAGGCAGGACGTGGCCTCGAAGCACAATTCCGTGTCCTTGGTGAAGGCTTGCCGGTCGTCCTTCCGTACATCGATCCGAGCGTGATAATGGACGCTGAGTTTGCGACTTTGAGGACTCTTTTGATCACGTATTATCCACTCTGCGCGTCTTTTTCGGACCCATTCCGGACGGCCATTGAGAATAGAAGTATGGTTCTTGCAATAACCAGTTGAAATTTGCTGATGTCGGATTGCAGGTCCTGGAAGTCATATCGTCCGGTTCCCAGCTGGTCAGTCGAATGACTCCACGTAGGTATTTTTTACATTATTGCATACATCTGCCTGACGTCAACTGTACAGGCTGTCACACGACCTCCTTCTACCTTTGTGGAAGTCCAATGTTTCTGTAACTCTCATGATCGACAAGAAGGCAAAAAGGTTCGTCTGACATGTTTTACTGTGCAATTTCCCTGTGTAACCCATCGACCGTCGTAGCGCCCTCAGTTTGCGACTCTTCGGTGAAGACATAACAACTGCTGCGCGTAACGGTGGAAAGAAGGGGCCTCAGGCCTCCCAGCTAGCACAAAATACAGGCGATGTAGCCCCAGATGAAGGCGCCGAGAACGAAGCTGAAGATGTAAATTTAGAAGATGAGGGTGACGATGTAGCAGAGCAGTGACACTTGTAGCAATTTTTTTGTGCGTTAATTCCTGACGTCATATCCGGGCTAATCCATGGCTAATTGATGTATGCCTCCCACGGCAAGTCCGTATCGCAGATATGCCAGTGTAACGAAGAATCATATACTTAAACCACGACATGGACTTGAGGCCTCCTTGCTGTCAATCGTCATTTCGCACCTTCCTGTCATCCTTACAATTTGGTGATCGCCACAGACACCGCCTCTGCTATTTTACGCAAAAGCTGCATGGGGAGTTGCAGGGACTCTGCGTTATCTGTGACGCTTGTTGTCTAACTCAATGTATCCCTGAATGTGTGACTCATGAGACTCGTATTGGGTTTTGACGATCTTCCAACAGGTGGCTACCGACCAATTCCTCGAATTTCACGATCAACACAAGTTTGCCTCGAGTTGATTTATGAAAATGACGCTCGAGAATTTGACGGATGCTGATTGTAAAGCATGCGACCCAACTGGTGTGAGTCGACTCTGGGTGCGGTGCGACAGACCTAACGTAGACTGCACAATATGTAAAGTCTAGGGGATAGTCTGCCAAGTATACAGCCGAATTCTCACCGCTGCAGCTAGGTCAACTTCAGCTAGCATGATCGGCACGTTGTACTCACGAGCTCGTACCCTTGCACAATATTTGCCTTTCTACATGTATGGAACGTGCTGAATCCATGTGACTTCGTCGATTTTACATGTGGTGTCAGGGCGTACCACCTCCTGTTCTAATGAATCAGGGCTCACGCCATCCAAAAACCCCAAACACGCAGGTGAAAACGTACATTTCGCTTTCTTGTCTCGTCTAGTCATCTTTGCAATGTCGCGGCCTGCTGAGAGAGGACCATCGTTTCGTGTGAGTGGTTCCCGACCCCTCTTCAGCATAAGTTTAACCCGAAATCAGCGGTCTATTCCACGTCGGAATGCTGCTGGTTCCACCGATACTGGAGTTAAGGAACCTTCACGTCGCACAGATACATCATGCAATGTTCTCATTTTTGGACAAGCTGGAGCTGGCAAAAGCTCCTTGGTCAATTTGATCGCCAGGAAAAAAATAGCGCAGACATCCCCCAATGCTAGGGGATGTACAACTGAGACCAATACGTACGACATTCTGATTCAGAATGAGTCGTTAAAGGTAAAGCTTTTCGATACGCCCGGTCGGTCCAGTTCGCCGCTATTCGTGGCTGTTACTGAACTAGATCTCAGGCCTTGATCAGGACTCTGAAAGTGCAGTCCCAGATGAGAAAGCTCGACTACTCTTGGAGAACCTCATTCGAACTCTGACAGAACAAGGTGGCATTCAACTCATCGTGTACTGTGTGCGGGGTGCCACAAGAGCGGCGACTCAGGCACTCCGCGGCCACTACGACTTTATTCGCTCCAAAGTCGAGAAGCTAGTTCCAATTGTCCTTGTCGTCACAGGTTTGGATTGCCGTGAACCAGAAATGGAAGATTGGTGGAGGGTTAACGAGACATACATCTCAAACCTCGGGATGAACTTTGCTGGTCACGCGTGTGTCACCACGGCGAATGCAAAATCTCAGCTGGGGGAGCGCCGCAACCAATCATACCATACTGTCTGTAACCTCATCAAGCAGACAAGGTATGTATAATTCAGATGGGTTATTTGTACTGTATTTTGCCAACTTGAAGATCCGCTTTAGCACGAGTGCAACCCGTAGCAACACTCATAAAAATGTCATCCTCTTTGGGCAGGCGGGGTCAGGCAAAAGCTCACTCATCAACCTCATGGCGGGAAAGGACGAAGCAGACACATCACCCGATATGAAACCCCACCGGGCTATAAGCTCGGCAGAATATGACATCGAATTCGATGGGGAGTCTTACAAGGTGTTCGAAACCATCGGACTCGAGGAACCACAGCTGGGGCTCCCACAGTACCTCGAAACTGTCAGGAGTGCCTGTGAGCTTATCCAGAATTTGGAGAGCCAAGGCGGTATTGATCTACTTCTGTTCTGCATGCGCGCAGGCAGACTCACTGCCACGCTTCAGAGCAATTACCGACTCTTTCACGAATTCCTCTGCGACAAACAGGTTCCCATTGTTATAGCGATCACGCACCTCGAAGAAGAGGAGGGTCGGCTGAATGCCTGGTGGGAGAGAAACGAGGAAGTCTTCCTTGAACAGGACGTCCGTGTCGATGGTCATGCTTGCGTCGTTGCCGCTGATCGGCATGACAAATACCCACTTCAGTATAAAGAATCGCGCGTCAAGATCCGCAACCTTGTCAAGAAGTTTACTGTCGAGAGGAAGTCGACATTGTCAAGAGGAGACCATTTCGTGAGGTTTATGTTGAAGCTGAAGAACCTACTACTTCCAGGTGGAGTGAATAGGAAGCATATTGTCTCTTACCTTACCACCCGTTGTGGTGTGCCTCGAGATGCTGCAAGAGAAGTGGCTGAAATGATCAAGAAGTCGAAATAGGTACTTCCCGTGTTAAATCACTTGTGCTCAGATCCGTACCCACACGACCTACTTACATACAATTGTCGCTACGGTTGTTATATTATCGTATCGGCGCAGGGCGCCCATCCATGACTCATTCTTTTTTTCGTGTGACGCCAGATTCAGCACGCCGACAGTCTTAGTGATGTTCCGGCCCGGCTTGGCCTGAAAGCCGCGACTTTGGGCTGGCTTCAGACGGCTTTGGCTTTTAAGAACTGCAGGCCGGGCTAAAGAATTCAGCTACTTAACATGATAGGCACGTTGTATTCACGAACTCGCTGGTAGCCACGCTACATAATATTTGCCTTTCTCACATGTATGGCACATACCGAATCCAATCGTCTTGGTCGATTTTACATGTTGTGTCAGGGCGTACTGGCTCCTGTTCTAGGGCTGACGCCACTCAAAACCCTCAAACACGTATATCAAAACGCACCTTTCGCCTTTTGTCTCAAGTTAAATCCTCTTTGCGATGTCGCGGCCTGCTGAGGGAGGACCATTGATTCGTGTAAGTGGTGCCCGGCCCCTCTTCAGCATAAGTTTAACTCGAAATCAGCTGCCCATCCCACTTCGAAGTGCTGCTGGCACAACCTATACCGGAGTCGAGGCTTTACATCGCACAGACACATCATACAATGTTGTCATTGTTGGACAAGCTGGAGCCGGTAAAAGCTCCTTGGTCAATTTGATCGCCAAGACGGAAACGGCGCAGACATCCTGCGAGGCTACGGGATGTACAACTGAAACCAAAGCGTACGACATTCTAATTCAGAATGATTCGTTGAAGGTAAAGCTTTTCGATACGCCCGGTCGGTCCGGTTCGTCGCTATTTGTAGCTGTTACTGAACTAGATCGCAGGCCTTGATGAGGGTTGTGAAGGTGCAGTCCCCGATGAGGAAGCTCGACGACTCTTGAAGAAACTCCTTCGAACTCTGAAGGAACAAGGTGGCATCCAACTCATCATGTACTGTGTGCGGGGTGAGAGAGGGGCGACTCAGGCACTCCGCGGTCACTACGACTTCATCCGCTCCCGAGTTAAGATGCCAGTTCCAATTGTCCTTGTCGTCACAGGTTTGGAATACCGTGAACCAGACATGGAAGAATGGTGGAGGGTTAACAAGCGAAGCATCTCAAACCTCGGGATGAGCTTTGCTGGCCACGTTTGTGTCACCACAGCAACATTCGACGAGAATGCAGGATCCCACCTTATGGAGCGCCGCAATCAGTCATACCATACTGTCTGCAACCTCATCAAGCAGATGAGGTACGTAAAATTCAGATAGGTTCTTTGTGCCGTATTTTGCCAACATCGACGAGTAGCACCAAGCGTAAGAATGTCGTCCTCTTCGGGCAGACAGGAGCAGGGAAAAGCTCGCTTATCAACCTCATGGCGGGAAAGGGTGTTGCAGGTACATCCAACGATATGAAAGGCTGCACTATGCGCTCGGAAGAATATGACATCGAATTCGGTGGCGAGTCTTACAAGGTGTTCGATACCATCGGACTCGAGGAACCACAGCTGGGACTCACACAGTACCTCGAAGCTGTCGAGAATGCCTATAAGCTCATCCAGAATTTGGAGAGACAAGGCGGCATTGATTTGCTTCTGTTCTGCATGCGCGCAGGCAGACTCACTGCTACGCTCCAGAACAATTACTGGCTGTTTCACGAATTCCTCTGCGAGAAGAAGGTTCCAATTGTTGTAGCGATCACGCACCTCGAAGAAGAGGAGGGTGTGCTGGATGCCTGGTGGGAGAGAAACGAAGGAATCTTCCTCGAACAGGGTGTCCATGTCGCTGGTCATGCGTGCATCATCGCCGCTGATCGGCATGGCAAATACTCAGACCTGTATGAAGAATCGCGCGTCACGATCCGCAATCTTGTCAAGAAGTTTGCCGGGGGGCCAGAGTGGACAGGAGGAAACAACCTGTTCGTGTCGTTGATGCGTAAGCTGAAGGAGCTACTTATAGGTCCGGTGAATCCGAGGAAGGATACCGTCCCCCGCCTCACCAAGCGTTGTGGTATGTCTCGAGAAGCCGCAACACAATTGGCTGATATGATCAAGTAAGGGGTGGCTACCTGACTTCCCGTGTTTAAATTGGATAACTCGTGCTCATCCTACCTGCCTACATACACCTCCATACTATCTACATGCAGTGTGTGGTGCCACTCTTCGTCGGAGAATGCAAATCATTGTAGCGCTTCAGAGATGTTGTGGAGTTAACTGTCTGATCCAATTTGAACGTTGTTCCGTACGGACTCGACTGGTGTTAAGCGACACTGACAAGGCTTACTATCCTCCGGACCCCTGCGCGAGAACCATCAGACGCCGAACGTCAAACTCAGTACATGGAAACTTGAGGGTGGGCAGCTATTTTGAATAGCTCAATGCTCAGTACGATCGTGTTGCTAACCCATTTATCGCATTTTACTTAATACATATCACACATCTGGCGTGTGCTTTCTTTGAACAGTTTTGCATTCAACTCGCGAGCCTTGCGACGAAAACGTGGGTTGGGAGTGTGACACTGCTTAGTGCTCGAGCTCAGGGTGTCCGCGAGAAAGATTTGACGAGTCCGGCGTTCCCGCTTGAGAGTTCGAGTTCGTCGCTGGCTAAAGAGATGTATATAACAAGTCCCTGTACGCAGAAAAACAAGTGCTGTAGTACTATCTTCCCCACAGCTCAAGGGTGCAGAGAACCAGACGTCTATCATAATTACAGGGCTCATGTGGGAACTGAGACACAGCCGCGTACTAGTAGTAGAGCGGAAGGTTTGAGACAGGCTCAAACTGCGTCGTTCGCGACGATGCTGAGCACTACACGGCCCATTAGATCTGTATAAATATAGGAATCACGCTCAACTGGTACAAATACACCGGGAGCCAAGCAGCTCCTTCGCGTCTATGATATCAACCAACCGGGCGGCGACATCTCGAGACATACCGTAAGACATGAGGCGAATGATGATATCCGTCCTCGCATGCAATGTCCTTGCAAATAGCTCCTTCAACTTACGCCCCTTGTTTTCTCCTACCCTTGCTTGGTTCTGCCCGTTGGCACTACACTCCTTGACAAGTTTGTGGATCGTGACGCGCGATTCTTCATACAGGTCTGGGTATTTTCCATGCCGATCAGCGGTGATGATGCACGCATGACCAGCGGCACCGTCATCCTGTGTGAGGAATGTTTCCTTGTGTCTCTCCCACCAGGCTTCCATCGCACCCTCCTCTTCTTCGAGGTGTGTGATCGCTACAACAACGGGAGCTTTCTTCTTGCAGAGGAATTCGTGAAACAGCCGGTAATTGTTCTCAACCGTAGCAGTGAGTCTGCCTCCGGGCATACAGAACAAAAACAGATCAATGCCGCCTTGTCTCTCCAAATTCCGGATGAGCTTGTAGACATTCTTGACGGTTTTAAGGTACTGTGAGAGTCCCGGCTGTGGTTCCTCGAGTCCGATGGTATCGAACACCTTATAAGAGTCGCCACCGAATTCGATGTCATATTCTGCCGAGTGCATAGTGTGGCGTTTCGCGTCATTGGACGTGACTGCTACGTCCTTTCCCGCCATGAGGTTGATAAGTGAGCTTTTCCCTGCTCCTGTCTGCCCGAAGAGGACGACTTTTTTACGCTTGGTCCTACTCATCAATGTTGTCAAAATACGGCGCAAAGAACCTATCTGAATTCTACGTACATTGACTGCTTGATGAGGCTGCAGATAGCATCGTATGATTGGTTGCGGCGCTCCGCGAGGTGAGATCCTGGATTCTTATCGGGCGCCGTGGTGACACATGCGTGGCCAGCAAAACTCATCCCGAGGCTTCGCTCATTAACCCTCCACCATTCTTCCATGTCTGGTTCATAGTTCTCCAAACCTGTGACGACGAGGACAATTGGAACTTGTTTCGTAACTTGGGAGTGGATGAACTCGTAGTTACGGCGGAGTGCCGAAATCGCTCTCTCACCCCGCACGCAGTACATGACGAGATGAATGCCGCCTTGATCCATCAGAGTTCGAAGGAGGTTCTTCACGAGTCGTCGAGCTTCCTCATCGGGGACTGCACCTCTAGGACCCTCATCAAGACCTGCAATCCAGTTCAGTAACAGCCACGAAGAGCGGCGAACTGAACCTACCGGCCGTATCGAAAAGCTTTACCTTTAACGTGTTGTCCTGAATCATAATGTCATATCCATTGGTCTCAGTTGTACATCCCCTAGCGTCGTGGGATGTCTGCGCCATTGTCGTTCTAGCGATCAAATTGATCAAGGAGCTTTTACCAGCTCCAGCTTCTCCGAAAATGACAACATTGCATGATGTGTCTGGGCGATGTTCCTCGACTCCAGTATCGGTGGAACCAGCAGGATGTAGACCCATAGGCGGCTTATTTCGGGTTAAGTTTGTGCTGAAGAAGGGCCGAGTACCACTTACACGTATCAATGGTCTTCCCTTAGCAGGCCCTGAGATTGCAAAGATGAATCGACTCGAGACAAGAAAGCGAAAGCTACGTCGTGTTCGGGGTGTTTGAGTGGTGTTAGTTCTCCTTCATGCATATGTATCCCCCGATTATTTAAATCAGGAGTCCGTACTACGTCCAGACACCAGATGTAAAAAATCGACCAGGCCGCATGGATTCAGCATGTTCCACCCATGTGAGCATTTAGAAAGGCTGGTGCATGAGTCCGAAGGCTGTACAAGATTAAATTTGATATAGCCTTCATTGACCTTCACGGGCATGCGCAGGACCCTGCTTCTTAGCAGCAGGTCAACCATGACCTAGGTGCAGCTTGAGTGTAGCAGTCGCTATCAACTAACACCTTGCAGCTGAATTGCGGTCTGCGCAGTGACATGATCCGTCAGATTAATGACATTGATGTGGGCCGACCACTCAGCTCGTTGAAGGGTATGCGGTTCCAGGCTGTTACGATTCCGAGATAGATCGGCTCCCGAACGGGGGGGAAACGCAAGTCCGCCGCCCTCGTGCATGTCTCTTTGCTCCTCACCGCCCTGGAAGAAGTCCACTGGCTACTCTCGGTTCTGCCAAATTCACGGCGTCGCCCCACTACCTCTGCAAACTACTATCACGCCGCCGCCATCACCCATGTACTCGACATTGACATCCTCCGCCCAGGGTCCACATTTCCACCACGCTCCTGCACCACCTTCACCCATGAAACAGCCCGTAGAGCTCGCCGCTGCTCACAGGGAATTCTGCACTTGGGCCCCAAACCCTCCCCGCCTTTCCACTACTGAATGAGTACTAATGGACAGCCTCAATTGGACTGCCACCCTCCTTGCGAATGAACGTGCTTCGTGGGGCGGCGCTTGATCCTCAATGCGGAAGTTCGATGTGTACTATATAGTGTAGTACACCCTTCACTGTTTTTTTGTCATGTAATTCTCTTGCCCAATGAGACTAAAACTGCAAACGACTGGTGCGAGTAGATACTTGAAGTAGGTGCGAGATGGAACTGGGAGGGAAAAGAAAACCTTCACGGTATCCAGGAACCAGAACAGAGAAGACCCAGTGCAAAGTCTGCAGAGTCCAGACAGATGGGAATTGATCGATCCAGGCTGTTGGTTGGAGCCGATATCGCGGGAGACGTAGGCACGGGCGGAAAAGGACAAAGGATGGGAGGGCGTCTCTGAAATGGCCGGTCTTGGTACAAGTCTAAAGAGACTTCAGGTCTTTGGTCTTGGTACAGGTGGCGATGCTCTCGGAGATTGAAGACGCCGGCGTCCCCCGAGCATGGCTGACCATTACACACCCGCCTTTCCCGCCAGTCACATCTCTCCCGCCAGTCACATCACGCCTCCACCCGCCGCCGCCGCCGCCAGGCGCTGCATCTCAACGCACGGGCCATGGACATCACGTCCCTCTTTGCTGCCATGCAGCAACAGGGTATTTGAGTAGCTCATGCATGGTTCGAGCGGCGTCTAAATCGAGGATGCCATTGGCATCACCTCCAGTGGCGGGCGGGCACAGAATAGCATTCCTGACAGCTGGCGGGCGGCGGGCAGCACAGAGGCGGGATGAAGGGTACTATTAATATCCTCCCTTAGGTGAGCTGCAGTGGTTCAACTCCGCTTGAAGTCGCCGAGCTCGCCGAGGGGTACCTAGACTTTGTACCGAGACGTCTGCTTAGACTTGTACCCAGACCGGCCAGAACTCTGACATTCACAAGGATGGATATAGGCACATGTTATTGAGGGTTGGCGCCAAATTTCGTACGCTGGCTGCAATGGAATGGGACTCCTCTCGTCATGCCGTTGTTACGTTACGCTGCACGTACTTCTCGAACTCTATTTGATGGACTACACAGACTCTGTGAGATGTACACGAAAAAGAACGAGTCAGGGATGGACGCCCCGCGCCGGTACGATAATATAACAACCGTTGTGGACAGTTCTCCGACCATAGCGAGAATTGTATGTAAGTTAGGACTATACGTATGACGTGTGGGTAAGCATAAAGTCGATGACCGGATGAGCACAAGTTACATACTTAACACGGAAAGTCAAGTAGCCACCTATTTCGACTTCTTGATCATATCAGCCACTTGTGTTGCAGCTTCTCGAGACACACCACAACGCTTGGTGAGGTAAGGGACAATATCCCTCCTAGTCACTCGACCTGGAAGTAATAGCTTCTTCAGCTTCGACATAAACCTCACGACCAGGTTGTCTCCTGTTGGCAATGGTCGTTTCCCGTCGATAATACTAAACTTTTTGACAAGGTTGCGGATTTTGACGTGCGATTCTTTATATTGGAGGGGGTATTTGTTATTCCGATCAGCGGCAACGACGCAAGCATGGCCATCGACACGGACATCCTGTTCAAGGAAGATTTCCTCGTTTCTCTCCCACCAGGCATCCAGCCGGCCCTCCTCCTCTGATTGTTCAACGTGCGTGATCGCTATAACAATGGGAACCTTTTTCTCGCAGAGGAATTCGTGAAAGAGCAGGTAATTGCTCTGAAGCGTAGCAGTGAGTCTGCCTGCTTTCATGCAGAACAGAAGCAGATCAATGCCGCCTTGTCTCTCCAAATTCCGGATAAGCTCACAGGCATTCTTGACAGTTTCAAGGTACTGTGGGAGTCCTAGCTGTGGTTCCTCGAGTCCGACAGTATCGAACACCTTGTAAGACTCGCCGCCGAATTCAATGTCATATTCTGCCCAGCTCAAAGTGCAGCGTTTCATGTCGTTGGATGTGTGCGTTACGCGCTTTCCCGCCATGAGGTTGATAAGTGAGCTTTTGCCTGCTCCTGTCTGCCCAAAGACGACAACATTTTTATGCGTGTTGCTATGTACCCATTCAAGTTATTGTTGGCAAAATACGGCACAAAGAGCCTATTAAATTCTACGTACCTTGCAGTCATTTAGTAGCAGGGATGTTCTGTATCGTACTATGTAGCGTCTTACCGCAGTTCTTATAGAGACATACGAGCGCTGAGGTGCCGATCCTTCAAATGCTTCCACATCAGTCGTATACTGAACCATCGGCATCCGCAAGATTCTTGAGCGTCATCCCATAAATCAACTCGAGGCAAACTCGTGTTGATCGCACAATTCCGAGTAATTGATCGGTACTAGTACGTAGCTACCTCTTGCGTGGTCTGTGACGATCTTACCGAAGATATGACTTGTGGAAGGTGACAGGAAGGTGCGAAACAGGGGCAAGGGCTGACAGCCACGCCTGAGACTCAAGATTATGTCGTGGCCAATCTTCTCGTGAGGCGCACTTAATGTCACTCTCACCCTGAGTATCCCAATTTGTACAAGTAACATTACTTATTCTAATAGCCTGCAGGCTGAAGCCCAAAGTAGAGTGTGGTACTTACATGAGTGACATGTGGAGAAGCGGTTCAGTTGCGCAGTCCGACTCTTTTTCTTCGTCTAAGCCCGAAATAAACATAAAGGTGCATCACACAGTATTCATAATTGCCAGGGGTACGTTCTCCGGAGATCACAAACAGTAGTACTAGTGTAAGAGCTTGATCAAACGGTTGCACCTCCGGATGTAGACAGATGCCCTAGACATTGCGTGCGGTTAACGAGACTCTAGGGTAACTTGGGGAAATGATTTAATATTTATTCTTCTCCAAACGGTCATGGTGTGGCACTGCCTTTTTCAAGAGCAAACGTTAGCGCTCCGCAGTCTCATTCGGAAATGCACCCCTAACCCCCACTAATTTGAATACAGTTAAATACCGTGTACATTACATTCTGAATCACAGCGATGACCTACACGATTCAACAGACTGGTGAGGTGGGGACGCCTGGGCAGGCGGCAAGCGCTTGAATGCCTGACAAAGTAAAAATTGAAAACACAAGGGACCTGGGTTTTGATCTTATGATCGAGTTTGCTCCACAATTTGATATCGAAAGTGTTTGGGCTTCGAACGTAGCAGCCAATGAAGGCGAGCGGAGCGGAGTTACCACTGTGTACGATGCAGCAAAAATGGCGAGGATAGCAAGGAGATAAAACAGCAGGAAATCAGGAAGACGTGAGTAGAATCTCATGTTCTGTGCGTGGTCTGAACTCTTCGGGACATCGCCGCAGTTCAGTCAGCTGAGCCTCGGGTGACACACTGTCCATCATAACATCTTCACTCGTCAGTTAAAGACTCGGAGGCCCACTTTTTCAGTAACTCCTCATTTAGATGCCTTCCTCGGCGATTGCAATCCTCTTAACTTACGATGTGCATTTGATCAGAGACACAAAGGTAAACTATTTCAAGTTTGAAATTGACTCGTGTCGACCTGTGTACAGTTTCGGCAGGATAGGACTCAACGCGCGTAGTGCGGTGCAACGCCTTTCGCTTGCCCCTACGCATCATCCAGCAACTTGAGGACATCGTCAGGAAGTGGTCCACCCTCACTATCAGCAATGTAATGTGGTCAGAGAATAGCAGTCACAAAAAAAGGCAAGGTACCCACTTTTCCTTCAGATTATTCTTGAGCTGGTCAACGTTGCTGGCACCTAGTGCTGCCACGGCTCGGCTTGGCTTAGCTTGGCTCAGCTCCACATGGCTTGGTGAGCTAATGGCTTGCACCAAACAAATTGGGACGTGGCTTACAAACAGCTTTCAGTGGTTCAGCTCGGCTACACAGCGAGCCAGCAGCTCATGACAAAAAAGGAAGTACAATGACAACTAGGCGTGGTTTGACTGCTGCTCTTGCAGTAACATAGTGATGAATGTAGATATATCCTCAGGAACTTGACCCTCCTCAACTATACAGGCCTCCATCACTTTTAACTCCACAGAACGAGAAGTTCCTGCTGTAAAATTGAGCCCCGACCCTCGTCTCGATGAGAATTTGAGCATTTGCAATGCCTCCATGAGTTCAGGGCTAATTGAACTCCGACGTATAGACATAGTTTCTTTACCAGAAGAAAACACACGCTCGCATGGCACAGCTGAACCTTGAATTGGAAGAATATCCATTGCAAGAGCAAAGATGGTTGGATAGCGTTCCCGATTTTCCTGAAAGTAATAAGTTCAGACTCGAGAGTTGATAAGTTGGTACAAAGAAGTAATCACGAACCTGCCAGTAAGTCAATGGATTGGATCCAACTTGCATATCGAGAATGTACACCTCAACTTCGGCTTCCAGTGACCGCATTCTGGGTTGCTGACGTAATCTAGCAGAACCAAGGATGTCGTCTGCCCACAAGTTATCTGTAGCTGGTAGGGGTGTTGCTGGTGTAGCTATAGAAGTAGTAGGGCTATAGTAAGGGCATAGCTGTTGATCATGAATCAACTTGTGGCCTATAGTAACAAGTCAACAATAAGACAAACCTCGTTGATGAAGAGGTCCTTCATCAACTGCACTTTCTCCGGTGCATGGTGACTGAACCAGTCGAGCTTGATTGCAGGATTGATTGCTTACATAAACATTGATTAACATTAAAAACAAGACACAAGCATAGTCTCACTTACCCATAGCAAGGATGTATGCAGGAACAGAATCAGTACGAGCCGTGTACACAGCAAGCTTGTTGAGACCAGGCTCGATGATTGAACTGAGGTCAGCACAATCTTCAGCCTGTTTTTCCCATGCCGATGACATGGCCTTGAAGGATGGGATAGCGTAAGATAGTGTTGGGGTCTTCTCAGCAGAGAGCCGCTGTTGAAAAGCATGAGGGACCTTCAAATAATGTCTGTGTTACACTTAGATACACTTATAGTGACAAGGGATACATACCACGAGTATCTTTTGAAAGACCTCAAGTGCATCCCACTCGGAGTCACTAAGGTTGTACTTGCGAAGTTCTGGAAATTCATTGCTTGACAGGAACTTCCTGATAGCCTGATCACAAATTAGTCTTGGCAATATTATATATCATAAACAGATTAAACTTCTTGTAAGGTAATTGCTCGCTCAACCATCAACAGTGTTGATGACCATCGAATATCAATGTCTCGAAGTAACTGAAGGTCCTTCTTCTCCAAAGCCTTGAGGATGGCCGAGAAGTATTGCCGTCGAATAGAAGAAGCTCGAATCTGTATCGAGCATCAGTCAGAGGATGACACAAAAGACCCTTGCACTTACCCCTCAAATGAGAGAATGGACAGTAGCAATAGGATCCCGCTTGATGGCTTCAAACAATGTGCATGCCGGTGTGCCATTGGGTACATAGTCTTCTGCATCTTCCTTTGCGAAGTCAATGTTTGTAATAGCCTTTAGTACTGCTTTGCAAGCCAGATTGACGATGTGCGGAAAGCAGCTGTGAGACATTGAGTAACAAGACAGTATATATTCAAGTAGATGTACCGAATATGCCTTTTCTCTTTATCAAAATTTATACCCCTACATCGAAGTTCATCCTCAAGATGACAAAGCAGTGTGTCATTATTGGAAGTGTTATCGAGAGTTACCCAACCAATCTTGTAGGCATTGCAATTAGCTATGATAGACATACTTGTTACTCATGTCTGCTTACCTTATGTGTGATTGTGAGTCGGTCGAGAATATGTAAGAATGTTGCAGCTAGGTGCTCACCATCATGCTGTCCAGGAATCCAATGGAAACCAATGAGATCAGCACAGTAACTTTAACATGTATTCTATGCCATTTGAGTTTTCAGAGGGCACAGTTTCAATCCAATGTGAAGTTACTCCCATGAATGGGGTCAAGTTGATATCAGACCAAACATCAGTTGTGAATGAGATCTTGCCGAGTGAATCCTTCACAAAGATTAGAAAGACACCTAAAGTAAAGTTCGTGACCTACTTGCATAGCATCCGCTAGCTGATCGAGGTAACCTTCATAAACTTCCATGACTCGTTTCTGAATGGTCGTGCGGTGAGGTATATCAGCATCCCGTAACTCCTCACGCAACATAAGAAAGAGTGCACGAAGTTTTGGACTCTCAATAACATTCAAAGACTTAAAGAAATATTGTCAGACAAGTACCAGACACCAATACAAGAAGACTAACCAAGTCTTCAGATACAATAAACTCGACTATGGCGTCAACAAATGCTTCCTTACAAAATGGCACACGTGGCTGTTCATTGCTGGTCATTGTTGTATGGCGTTGATTATGGTGGCTCCGATATCCTGCAACGGCTTTCTGTGCCTCTTTGGCTGTGATCGGGATGCGAAGTTGATCACATCCTGAGATCCATGCTTCGGTGTGTTGTTCGTACAGATGGCGACGCAGAACACCCGTGCCTGTTTTCAGACTGAACTTAGCACACGGCCCAGACTTGGCTGCTGATGCCACGTGTTGCTGTCTGCACGAAGCATATAAGTAAATGTATCAGCGACTTCGCATAAAAGTACTTACTTGCAAAATAGGCAACAATGCTTGCCATCTTCCTCCACAAAGAAAGACCATACATCATTAGCTTTTGAACGCTTCAAATTACCTGTGGGGCTAGACCACACTGCTGACAAACATTGACGTGATTGAGAGTGAGGGCCAGCACGTGGAGTTGTCATGATTGGAGTTGCTGACGAGTGTATGGGGTGGGGTGCACGTTCCGGAGTTTGCATTTGAGGATCCAATGCAAATGCAACCCTTGCCCTGGTAGGCAATTGAGGTGGTGTATGAGGGTTGTCGGCTCGCACATCACCTAATGGCACATCTGACGAGGGGGGAGGTTGGTGGTGACGGCGGGTTGGAGATGCATGGTGAGAGTCAACATCAAGGACTTCGACAACTTTGGTCTGTCTGTTCCGACGGGGAAGCTTTGTTGAAGTTGCATATTGCGCTATAGCATCTGAAAAATCTGCAACAATTAGAATCAATGGATAGTACATCAGCCCTGATTGAACAGGCATACCTTCGAAGACTTCAACAGCAAATGTAGTTTGCAGTGCTCCATGAGGCAGAATGTGCTGCATATCTTTCTTTGAGCGAGCACGTTTGGGAGGCATGACTTAGTGGACAGATGAGGTCATGGCAGAACGAGCTTTATATCTGTATACGATACATGATCCGCGAATACAACACACACCACGACAATGAAAACTTACGAGATGCCGGAGCTTCACCAGGTAAAATCGAGGCAATGTCCCATACAACCCACACTGAACACGTCACAAGTAGAGCTCGGCAGCCACACAGATTACATGTTCAGCTGCAACAGCACAAGGCAGTAGACGTTTGCAGTATAGTGCCGCTAATGAGCAAGGTCCGAATAACACGTAAAAAAAAAAAAAAAGCCCTACAGAGTGATACCATTCCTGGACCAGGTCTTTTCTTTTGATCTGGCGATCACGCCAGTACAGATAAATGACTTTTGCTAAGCGCAGTAGTTGTGCAGGTTGTGGCACCCACATCAGCACTGCAAATGGGGCAAACACAGATGGTGGTAATGGGGAGGAGAATGTTTCTTGATAGTCGGTTAACGGAGGAAATGTCATGCCAGACTCGAGTCCCTGTGACAAAAATGTCAGTCACATTCTTCCCAGTGCATTTGACCGCATCTCACCTTTAGCACCATCAGCACCGATCATCCACTTCGTATCAAAAGTCTCTGATATACCGTTCTTTGCGAGAACAGCAGTAACACCCTGGTCAGACTGCTCGAATGATAGCAGTTCGGTACCCATCTCCACAGAGCAAGAGAACTTCTCTAGGTGACGTCGCAGAATCACATCTAGGAACTGTTGACCCATTACCTTGGTGAGGTGCTAGATAATAAAGTTATCATTGTGAAAGCTTGAGAAAAGGGTGACTCTATGCACGAATGGTACCGCTGGGGTAGGATCCATATGCAGGATCACCGAAGTTTCGGCCAAAGGTTCCAATGTCCCAGGTTTGTACTGAATGGATGAGAGGTGTTAGTTTCCCCCGATCATTAACTTCTGGGACATTCAGGAAGTTGAAGAGTTCGAAGGGAGCGTGGCTATATCACATGTTAAATTGAACGTAGGGTGATATGACAAGTGGGTGTATGAGCATACCCAGATTCTGGGACCACGCTGTCCGATCCGAGGATTTGGGTCTTTATCAATGATGCAAACTCGGACGCCATTTTGAACGAGCAACAACACTGCTACTAGACCTGCTGGCCCAGCACCTACCTAAGAAGAGGAATCCAGTCGAGGTAACTTCTATCATAGGTAGGTCACTTACGATTAGGACCGGAGGATGAATGTTGTTCATATGTAAAGGCTGATGAGTTTAGAGGAATCAGCGGAACATCGTGGTGGCAAGATTAATAAACTCACAATGTGCTCGGCTCTGTGAGTTGCTGCAGTAGAGGGAAAGAGAGAAGTCGAACTTGAGAGTGGAGGCAAAGATGTCGAGGTGGCGGTAGTATCAATGGCTGGAGGAGTAAAATCGAAAATGGCCCTGCTGGAAGGATGCATTGTGTCGAGACCGTGCCACAGAGCCTTCACAGTACTAGTGTCGACGCATACATGCCTCTTTTTGGAACCGAGCCACGGCTGAAGCTGAGCAAAGCTTGAACGAGTTGGTTGTCTTTGACTTAGTTCAACCGATGAGCTGGTAGTTGACAGCTCAAGTCAGAGCGGCTAACTCCGGGCTTGGCTTGAATGGCTAGCGGCTCTGAGCCAAGCCATGGCAACACTACCCGACAATGATGAAGTTCAGCAACCCCTTACCCCTTTAGGGCTATGTCCACGGGCACTCCTCGGTCGCTTTCAACTCAACACCATCAAAGCAACCAAACCTCAACGACCCCCGACACTCAAAGGAAAACATGTTTTGCTCATCTGACATCACCACAAACCGCCAGTTCAACCTGGTAGACTTGTTGATGGTAGTCTGAAATTGGGTGACTTCCCGTAAGAATTTACAGAAACAAGCTTGTCTGTGAAAGTTTGATCGCTCGACATCGGCTAATTTACGGACAGAATCTGTAAACCGTAAGAACTCAGCAAGACGATGGACTGGGAACAACATCAATGATCCGGACGACAATTCCGGGAGCAAGCATCAGCAAATCACTTTGCCTCTGTGGGCTCTGTACAGCTCTGTACAGAAGGGACCAAGCTGTGGCCAGCCATTTTTTGGTGGTGGGAAAAAAAGTGTTTTGCTGATGGAGCCATCTAAACAGAGTAAGAAAATTGCCCTAATCAGACATTTAGTGCACTCCAACAATTTTACAGAAATATACAGAGGGGTAGCTACCCCTCCACAGGTTGGCAGATGTACAGACGAGTGCGAGAGCAACCGTTTGACAGGCATTGATAGCTACCTTCCAAATCCAGCGTGGCTATTCGGCTAAGGCATGAGGATTAACAGAAATTTGTCTGTAAAACCTTACGGGAAGTCACCCATTGACCCTGTCATTCATAGCAAATTAGCACGCTAACTTAGCTGGCCTAAATTCCCCAAGCCCTGGCCCCCTAGCACTGCACAAGCGTAGCCTGAGCGCACTGAACTGCTTGTTCCCCGTGAGTTGAGCGGTCGTTTGTACTTTATTGTGCGTTGAGCGTGTCGATTTTTTAAAAATCCCGACTCGGATGAAGCCAGCAAGGATGCAAATCTGGAAGACAATGACACAAGCCTCAAGGAGATTTTCGAATTCTTATAAGGCAACAAGAAATTAGAAGAGGTGAGTAGAGAGTGTAGCCGCGCATTTTGCTCTGTGCGTGGTTGAAATGCGTAGTTGAACTTTTCACCAGCTGAGCCACGGGCGCCAGTGACATCATCATCATCATGACTCGGAGACGTCTTTATCATCAGCTGAAGACTCGGCAGCCCTTTATGTCAGTAACTCCTCGATGATTTGACTACTCTCCTTGTTGACTTCATCCAAGTCTGGTTGTTTTCTTGCTCAACAAAGCCAGTATGTCAGATTTCAGACAACAGAATGTTTTGACGGTCAGCAGTCACAAATCTTCTAGCCCATCAGCTCTCCTATTTGTGAGCTAAAAAACAGTTGGCATATATTATAGAACAATTCTGCACATGCCAAGGTCTGACTTTGACACATTTTAAGGAAAGTTGGTCTGTTGCGCAACACAGATAACAATGCTTTAGTTTTACATCCAAAAGTTTCAAAGAAACTCAGATGCACCCGCTTCAACCCTGTATAAGAGCGTGATATCCCACGAGATATCTCCATGAACTTGCTCTCGCGCAGCGCAGACGCATCCTCTTGGTTCACATGAGCTACAACATGAAGGTTTTATCTGCTTTGAATTCTGACCTTGGTGAGAGATTTTGGACCGTTACAATTGACTATTAGAGCTACGATTATGGACCATGGTGACCCATGATATAGATGTCCAGCTGATCAATGTTTCTGTGTAGTTACCGGGGCATGAGTTCTTGGGCACCCAGCGTCAATCGCTCAATAAATAACCTGGGCTGCCAACCCTGTCAGAAGAACAACAAGCAGATAGCAAGATGTCGGGGACCCACTGGCCGTCTGTTAATGCGGAGTCCCTGCAATTACAGCACTGGTAGGGTTTACCTCGTGCTAGTTAACTTACTGACTGCGAGGTTTGGCAAGCATAGCAAATATATCCTGGACACAGGTGGATTTTTTGTTGCCGTAATCGAAAGAAGTCATGCCAGTGTTGCAGTGTAGGTTGCAGTGCCATGTTTTCTACAGATAGTTCTTACACATTTTCAGGGAAGGGGATGCGGAATTAATGTCCCGGAAGCCAAAAAGGCTAAGCTTGACCCTGGCAGTCCGCAAGAGCCCCAATATAACTTTGCTGTCTAGATCACACAGATAGAAAAGTTATATCGCGGTGCTGCGCCCCCAGCGAAGTACTTCATCCTCGGCTATGCCAATGTCCGACAGTCCGAGAACGGTAGTTCACGTCCATTGGTGTCGGACACACCATCGAGGCAGATGTGCTTGCTGCCTCCGAAGAAAGTTACATTAAAGGGTGAAACCAAGCTTTCGGATTCGTCGTTCAAGGAAATGCTTTATAACTTCCTCGGACCCAATGATCTTACCCCAGTGATATCCTGCATGTTCGCGTTTCACATCATCGCCGTGGTCGTTGAACTCTAATCTATATCATTACAAAGATCAGGTTCATCTTATGACCAGCTTCCCGTTGCTGATCCGCAACCCAGAAGGCGAAGCAGTACAGTCTTTCTATTTCACCAACGACCTCGTGAAAGGTCATTCTAAATGACTACTCTTGCATGCGCGTGATGACGAACGGGACAAATCTCATCACCAAACAAGATGCAGGACGAGGGCTCGACGCGCAATTTCTTGTTCTTGGTGAAGGCTTGTCGGTCGTCCTTTTATACATCAATCTGAGCGTGACATTGGATGCTGAGTTTGCAACTCTGAGGACTCTTTTAATCACGTATTGTCCGCTCTGTGCATCTTTTTCGGCCCCATTTCGGTGGATCATCGAAAGCAGAAGTATGACTCCTGCAACACCTATTAAACAGACTTGCTCACTTTGTGTTGCAGGCCCTGGAAGTCACATTGTTCGATTCCCAGTTAGTCAGTCGAACGATTCGACGTAGGTGTATTATTCATGGATGGATGCATCTAGCTGACGTCCTCAGGCTGTCACACGACCTTCTCCTGCCTTGTGGAAGTCCAGTGTTTTTGTAACTCTCATGGTCGACAAGAAGGCAATTTGACATGCTTTATTATGCAATATCCTGGGTAATCCATTTGCGACTCTTCATAATAACTGCTGCACGTCATAGCGGAAAGAAGGTGCCTCAGGCCTCCCAGCAATCACAAAGTGCAAGCGATGTAGCTCCATATGAAAGCTCCGAGAACGAGGACGAGGACGCAAACCTCGGAAGCTGAAGGTGGCAATGAAGCAGAACACTTTATATTTGTGCTTCCCACGGTAAGCCCGTATCGAAGATGGGCAGTGTCATGAATTCGAAGAATCATATGCTCTACTTCGCTGTGTGAGTACGTATCAGTTGGGTGTAATGGTGCCTTGTGTTTTCAATTTACACCTTCAAAACACATGTCAGGAATTCAAGCGCTTGTTGCCTGCTCTAACACTCATCAGTCCGTTTCCCGTGATCAGGCGATGTCAATTGACTGAGTCTGTTGAATCGTAGGTGATAATAACTGATCGTTGCGATTCAGAATGTACCGTACACGGATAGTTAGTGGGAAGGACAAGATTCAATGCCTTTCCGAATGAGACTGCGGAGCGCTAAATTTTGTTCATGAAAAAGGCGGTGCATCGATGGCATCGTCTCGCCTGGAGGGGAAAACCTAGGGAATGATCTGCAAAGCACCAAATTTAGGTGTGCATCGAGAAGGTGCAGCAAGTGCCGATCCAGTTCTTTGGCGCTGTGCTTGCCTCGCCACTCGCTCTTACACTGGCACACACTTTTCTCGACCTTCGGAGAATGGATCCCTTCGCATACGAGCAATATTAATTATAAATTTATAATATCCAAACTGTTCATTTCTGGCTCAGACGACGAACTCCGACAATACTCCGACTGCGCGACTGAATTGCTTCTATGTTGCCACCCTCATGTAAGAACTACCACACTCTACTTTGAGCTCCGGCCTGCAGGTGATCGAAATTGCTTGTACAAACTAGGTTACTAAAGGTAGGCGTAATCTTGGGGCTTCTTAGCTGTCAGCTGTCCCATACCTCCTATTTTGCATCTTTCTATCAACCATATCTTCGGTACGCGCGATTGCCACAGAGATCGCCTGCTGTTTTGCAGGTTGCCTTACCTTATCTGTCCTGTTACTCATTGTATCCCTGACAGAATGCGTGAATCGTGAAATTCGTATTTGGTTTTGACGCTCGAGAAACCTCTTCCAACAGGCGGCTACCGATTAATTCTCGAATTGCGCCATTAACACTTTTTAGGATGATGCTCGATATTCTGGCGGATTGTGCAATATCGACCGATGGGGGAGCACCGGAAGGATGGGTTCAAGTAACGTGGTCAGCATTCGTTTATCTTTAAAAGAACTGTGGCAATATGCTATATAGTTCTGTAAAGAACATCCCTCCTACTAAATGGCTACAAGGTACGTAGAATTCAGATAGACTCTTTGCTGTATTTTGCCAACATTGATCAGTAGCGACAAGCAAAAAAATATCGTACTCTTCGGGCAGAGCGGAGCAGGCAAAAGCTCACTCATCAACCTCATGGCGGGAGAGCACGTAGCAGTCACATCCCCCGACATGAGACGTTGCACTATGCGCTCAGAATCATATAACGTCGAATTTGGCGGCGAGTCTTACAAGGTGTTCGATACCATTGGACTCGAGGAACCACAGATGGGACTCCCACAGTACCTCGAAGCTGTCGAGAATGCCTACAAGCTCATCCAGGATTTGGAGAGACAAGGGGGCATTGATTTGCTTCTGTTCTGCATGCGCGCAGGCAGAGTTACTGCCACACTTCAGAGCAATTATCGGCTCTTTTACGAATTCCTCTGCGAGAAGAAGGTTCCCATTGTTATAGCGATCACACACCTTGAGCAAGAGGCGACTCAGGACAGTGCAATGGACGACTGGTGGAAGAGAAACGAAGAAGTCTTCCATCAACATCAAATCCATGTCGCTGGTCATGCGTGCGTCACCACTGTTGATAGGCGTGGCAGTTACACACGCCTGTATAAAGAATCGCGCGACACGATCCACGATGTAATCAAGAAGTTTACTGCCAACGGGCAGAAGGAAGCATGGATAGGAGGAAACAACCTGTTCGTGTCGTTGATGCGTAAGCTGAAGGAGCTACTTGTGGGGAATTTGCGTCCGAGGAAGGATATCGTCCCTCGCCTCACTAAGCGTTGCGGTATCTCTCGAGAAGTTGCAACGAAATTGGCCGATATGATCAAGAAAGAATCTACTTAACTTCCCGTGTTCAATAACTTGTGCTCTTCCGGTTGTAGACTTTGTTCTTCATACGTCATACATAATTCTACTTACAATAATATTATGCATGCTTAAGTACTCCGACACCATGTCTGGGCAGCCTCTGTAAATGTCTTGTCGAGGTTCTATTTATAAGTTCTTGTACGCAGATATCGAACAATTATTAAAAGAAGCCTGGAGCAGCACAGCTTAGAGGTGCGGAGGGTCTAGTCTATCACTGATAGTTAACTTACAGGGCTTGTGTGGGAGGCTGGGAGCCAGGAACACGCCGGCATAGAGCTAGGAGCGGTTTGAGACAAGCTCAGAACCACGCTGAGCACCACACACGGGCACATTGGATTTGTATAAATATAAGAAGTATGGTACTCAATGAAATCCACTTCACCGACAATAAAATGCACATGATCGAACACAGGAAGTCAAGTACTAGTAGCTACTTCTACCGCGTCCCTCTTGATCATATCAGCTAACTGTTCTGCGACTTCTCGAGACATACCGCAATTCTTGGTGAGGCGAGGGACGATATCCTTCCTCGGACGTAAATTCCCCACAAGTAGCTCCTTCAGCTTACGCATCAACGACACGAACAGGTTGTTTCCTCCTATCCATGATTTCTTCAGTCCGTTGGCAGTAAACTTCTTGATTACGTCGTGGATCGTGTCGCGCGATTCTTTATACAGGCGTGGGTAACTGCCACCCCCATCAGCGGTGGTGATGCACGCATGACCAGGAAAATGGATCTTCTCTTCAAGGAAGGCTCTCTCGTTTCGCTTCCACCAGTCATCCATTCCACTGTCTTCATCTTCAAGGTGCGTGACCACTATAACGATGGGAACCTTCTTTTCACAGAGGAATTCATGAAAGAGCCGGTAATTGCTCTGAAGCGTAGCAGTGACTCTGCCTGCGCGCATACAGAACAGAACCAGATCGATGCCGCCCTGTCGCTCCAAACTTTGGACGAGCTTATAGGCATCCAAGACAGTTTCAAGGTACTGTGCGAGTCCCAGCTGTGGTTCCTCGAGTCCAGCGGTATCGAATACATTATAAGACTCGCCATCAAATTCGATGGTATAGTCTTGCCAGTGCGTCGTGCAGCGTTGCGCATCAGGAGATGTGACTGCTATGTCCTGACCCGCCATGAGGTTGACGAGTGAGCTCTTCCCTGTCCCCGTCTCCCCAAAGACTATGATATTTTTATGCTTGGTCCTAATCATCAATGTTGAAAAAATATGGCACGAACAACACCTGAAGACTACGTACCTTGTAATCGTCTGCTTGATGAGGTTGCAGACAACGTGGTATGACTGGTTGCGGCGCTCCATGAGCTCAGATCCTGCATTCTCCTGGATTGTCGCCGTGGTGACACATGCATGGCCAGCAAAGGTCATCCCAAGGTTCGAGATGCTTCGCTCGTTATCCCTCCACCATTTTTCCATGTCTGGTTCATAGTTTTCCAAACCTGTGACGACAAGGACAATCGGAACTTTCTTCTTAACTTGAGAGCGGATTAACGTGTAGTTACGGGAGAGTGCCCAAGTCACTCTCTCACCCCGTACACAGTACATGATGAGATGAATGCCACCTTGCTTCATCAAAGTTCGAAGGAGCTTCTTCAAAACTTGTCGAGCTTTCTTATCGGGGACTGCACCTCCAGAGCCCTCATCAAGACCTGCGATATCATTCAGTAATAGCCACGAAAAGCAGCGAACAGGACCGACCGGCTGTATCGAATAGCTTTACCTTCAACGTCTCGTTCCGAATCAAAATGTCGTACGCGTTGGTTTCAGTTGTACATCCTCTAGCATCACGGGAAGTCTGCGCCGTATCCGTCCCAGCGATCAAATTGACCAAGGAGCTTTTACCAGCTCCAGCTTCTCCGAAAATGACAACATTGTAATCGGATGTGTCTTTCCTGACGGCAATGTAGTTGGAACTGGAAACAATTGTCTCTGCGGTGTGGGACTAATTTGAGGTTAACCTTATGTTGAGGAATAGCCAAACACCACTCACAGTCGACATTGTAAAGATGCCTCAACTCGAGACACGAAAGTGAAAGGTACTAGTACGTCTCGACTTGCGTGCTCGCGCATGTATCTCCCGGTTCTTTAAAACAAGAGACCGTACATCGAGATACCAGATACACAAGACATATAGATTCAGCATGTTCCATGGACCATACATGTGAGATAGAAAGGCGCTAGGATCGTAGTGAGCGAGTACCATGCTGCCTATGCAACAGGGCTGTGTATTGCAATTTGCAGGGCCCTTCTTAGGGACTAGGCTAAGCCGGAAATTGAACCCTCATGGGTAGAACCATTGCGCGGCCACTCAGCTCGCTTCCTGCTTTCATCTCTCTTAGGTATTCCTCACCAATATGTATTGCTCCTGGGCACTGTATCCTTCAGCGCTCTGTAATTGCCGGTTCCCATTAGTCACAGTCACTCCGGGACGCGCCATGCGTTCACCCCACTTCAGCCCCCTCTTCCGTGCAGGATGACAGTGCAATTATCCTACCAGTTGACGTCAGGATAATATTGCTAATTGCCACCAACAGCTTGGTCGGCGGTAGCCAAGTGTTGTTCTCCTTGTTTGCCATTGAACAATGAAAAGAACCCTTGGCTAAATCAAGAGCAATGGGTAGAGCGGCCAACGGAGTCGTCGTCATTGCTAAAATGATCGGCAACAGTAAGGCGAATGTGGTTTATATTCGCACCTATTAAAGATTTCTTAAAATGATTTTCGAGACCTGGTCACTTCTTCCAACATCAGCAAAAGCGGCTGAAATTTCGCTCAGTTTAAGTGTTAGAAATCAATTCAGTTCACCTGAGACTATACCAAACAGGGAATGTCAGGGATCGTAAAACGATAGTTTTTCGACGGGTCCAAACATTGATGTGGACCGAGTGGTGCAATAACTCCAATAAGGAAGGGGCTTGTTTGGGTCCTTTGCCAGTATTAGACGACAGCAGGCGGTGATACTGCATCTCTCACGAGGCGGTCGTATGCGCTTCTCGATAAGGGCGAAGTCCGAGGGAGGATCCATGGGGAGATCCGAGAGCCATACTGAAAGCGCGGGTATTGATAGCAAAATATAGTACTGAGACTTATCTCCGCTTGGCTAGCGCGAGAAGTCACGTGATTAGGTCGCGCGTCTCGATCGGGGTCGAATCCCGGCGGCTGAGAAAAGGAGTAGGCGCGCGCGTCGAGTAAAACTCGTGCGTAACTGGCTGTAGCTACGTAACTTGCCTAAATACGCAGCCGCCGATGAGGGCGGCGGAGGCAAATCTGGAAGATGATGGTGACGATGATGCAGAGCAATGTGATTACATATGTACGATACAGCAATAATAGCGAGGATAGCAAGGAGATAAGACAGCAAGAAATCAGAAAGACGTGAGTAGAGACTGTACCCACGCATTATGTTCTATGCGTGGTCTGAACTCCTCGACACATCGTCGCAGTTCAGTCAGCTGAGCCTCGGGCGACACATCATCCATCATGACATCTTCGTCGTCAGCTGAGGACTCGGAAGCCCACTTCTTCAGTAACTCCTCGATAATTTGGATGCCCTCCTCGGTGACTTCATCTGAATGCTCGGGTTCTGATTGTTGTCCTGCTCAGCAAAAGTCAGCATGATTAGTTTCTGACAAATAGAGCTTTTGATGATTACCAGTCGCAAAATCTTCTAGTTCATCAGCTTTCCGTTTTGCGAGCTAGAGCATGGTCAACAGGCATTATAAGATGATTATATCCAGGACTGACTTTGACCACATTTTCAGGGAAGTTGGCCAGTTGCGCAACGTGGATACCGAAGCTTTGGTCCGAAACACCTTCATTCAAAAGTGTCAGATATTTCTAAAGAGGTCTATGATTTGGAAAATGAAACACACCTGGTTCAACCTTGTACAAGAGCGTGATATCCCTCTCGCGTGGCGCAGACGCATCCTCTTGATTGACATGAGCTACAACATGAAGGTTTTTCACGTGCGGAAGCTCCTGGTCGAGGGCAGTCAACTCGTGAAAGTGAGTAGCAAACAAGCAGAACGCGCGGATGTGGGACGCGATATGCCTTTGAGTGCCGTCAGATACCATCCCAGGAAAGAAAACTAGCACTCCTACTCGGATATGGACCATGCGAGGCCAAATCCGTCATACGTCGACGTTCCTGGAAATTAAATATCATCATAATCTGCGCCTTCGTCCGACAGAAAACATACCGCGGCCGAGCTCATCGATGATAATCAGAGAATCTTGGGTGGCAGACTAAACAGTGAACGGCGGTCAGACTAAGGAAGGATCTGTTGTAGATATGCCCTTACTCGGAGAATCGACGCAGTCTCAAGCATCTCGGCCATAAATGTCGAGACACCCTTCAATTGACTGTCACCTGCACCCACCCTACACAGCACGGAATCGAAGATCGGCAAGGTTGCCTCCGAGCAAGGCACGAAACATCCAGTCTGTGCCATGAGAGCAATGACTCCAACCTGTGCAAGATAGGTTAAGAATGACGTTCCCGAACGAGAATAGCAGATGCACCTGACGGATATACGTGCTCTTTCCGCCCATGTTTGGGCCGGCTTTTGATAGGTTAGCCATGTCAGAAAAGATAGGGCTGACCTACTGATGATCTGGAATTCGCCCTCGCCTACAAAGCGGCACGTGAGATATGTAACGGCGACGGTGTGATCAACCTTACCCTTCACCATCTCTACATCGTTCGGAATGAAGCTAATATCGTCTTGAACTTCGAGGCAAGGATGCCGTGCATCGCGCAATATTAAGCCGCTAGTGCCTGGTAATGCATTGTTGGTCAATTTATGCCTCGAGCCCGGCCTTCAAGACTTGCCTTTCTCCAAAACCTTTGGTTTCACGTATGGCTCGGGAGCGTTTACAGAAACGTGAGCGAAACTGAACGATCGTTACGGCATGCTCAACACCTCCGGTCACTGTGCTCACCTGAGGATCACATCTAAATGTGCGATGACGTGGTCAAGATTCTCTAGTACAGGTGTATATGTTGCTGTAGGAAGAAAAATGCATCTGTGAATGGCGAAGTATCATGAAAGGAAAACCCTACACGCGATGCTCACAACTTCCTTCACAAGCCCGCTCTGCGTGCGCTGATATTCATGTGTTACCTCTTGATGATCCGTTGAAAATCCTTTCAGCTTCTTGGTCGTGAAGTAGACCCCGCTCTTGACAGTCCCGAGTTCGGTGTACTTGCTATTCCGCATGATGACTTTGGCGTCCTGATGGGTTTGTGAGTTCATGACATGTCAGAACACGGCACGCATACATTCTTCGTCAACCTGAAACAGTAACCGTAGGTCTGAGAGTTTTCAAGGTGCAACTTCTTGTCGAGGTCAAGCCCGAGATCCTTGCCTGCAGTACGATGCTCGGCATCAAGACCATCACGAATCTAAGGAAATGTCAGCCCTGTTCGCCAGAAGTCTGATAGATGCAAGGACGAACCTCTACAAGTTTGTCTGCCAGAGTCTGGAGACGCTCATCATAGTCAGGCTTGATTGCATAATTATGATTTTCGAGCTCTGCAAGATCGAGCGTTGACTCGACCATCTCGCCATATTTAACGAGGTTATCATTAATAGCCTGGTAGCACAATGTGTTAAAAAAGCGTACAGCATAACCCGATGAAATCACAACGGCGCACCTGGAAAGGCTTGATATAAACCTCGTCGATAAGCTCCTTGTGTTCTTCGTGCTCGTACTGGAGACCCTCGAGAGCCTCAAGCAAACCAGGCAGCTAGGCGGGTAAAGTAAGTATCACTGATGGTTGAGAACCGAACCGAAGTACCTTGAGGACGACTTGATATGCCCGCACAACATCCTCAAGGGACGCGATAGATTTCTTGAATCGCTTGCTTAGCCGATGGAGATCAGGCATCAGTTTCAAGTAGTCATCCTGTGGAACAAAAATGAGTGAGACCCTTGGAAGATGGTATCATACTGACCTGCAGCGTTCTCCGTTTAGATGCGTCATCTACGAATGTCTCCACGAGGTCTTGCCGTTTACCTGCAAGGTCAAGGTTTTTATTCTGCGAAGTAAAGTAGAAAAATGGGCATACATATTTCGTGCAGATTTATCAAAGGTTGCTTGAGCCATGTCCCGAGGAGCCTCGTGCCCTGAGCGGTCTTGCATTTATTGAGTAGACCAAGGAGTGTTGCGTTCTTATTGATACTTCCCTACGAGGTGACGGTTCGCAGGTGAGACATCAATTTGAAATAATAATCGAATGACTGACAGCACTCCCAGGGGCATCGATGAGATTCAGTGCACGCAATGCACTAGCATCCAAGCGCATATATCGTGCCAGATCGTGTGTCCGTAACTTGTATGCACCATGATTGGATGGATCAGAAAGGAGAGAGAGATAGCTGATCAAGGCAGCGAGAGCAGACGGGGCTGAAGGCAGGGAGAGCTCAGCTGAAATGCTGTTGAGTGTTGTCAATGCAGTTCAAAGATTAAAACCCACGAATCGGTGCAGCAGACTCTGAATCTGTTTCCGAATCAATTGTTAGCTTTTTGACATCGTCTACTACATTTTTCGCAGTAAATTCGCCTGAGCGACTGGGATTAGTTGGCTTAAGAGACTGCATAGAGGTTGGCTTACTTGGTTTACGTTCGGTCACAACAACGCCGCACCTCTCGAAAACGGCTTTTAGCTTGCTCAGGTCGAGGTCGCGGTCTGTCGTCCCCGACGCTGTTCCGGTTGGAATAATAGCTTCTTTGACTGAGAGTTGTATGACAAGAGACTATTCCGGTATGAGGAGATGGCCGTGACAGTCTGAAACTGAGAAACCTACTTCAAGGTTCGAGAACAGATCGTTGTCGACGAAATCAGCAACTCCAAACTCCCTCACACTTGTGTCCGCAAAGGCAATGCCGACAGACTTGGTCTTAGCTTTGTTCGTCGCCGAAGATGATGATATTTTGACAGCTAAAACGATAGGTGCCGACGTAACGTCAGAGCTAACAAAGAGGAGATCTTCGACAGCTTGCAGGTTTCCAGGAGACGCCTTTTTAAATGATTAAATTACAGCCATGAAGACAAGACGTTGCTTGCTCACCTCTTTTTCCAAAACAAACTTGGAGGCCTTCCTTCCCTGCCCTGGTGCGGGCACCCAAATCTCCACGCGCAGCTGTTTAGATGTAAGAGCATCCCGCAAAAGGGAGTGAGCCAGAGTATGGCTCAGCGTAACACTAGGAAGACCACCAGCCTTGCCTCCAGCACCTAGGTACTTGAGGACGGAGTTAGTGCGAAAAACGTGTGTGGCGACGTAGTGGGCATCTTGCCCGTGGACAGAGTAATAGTCCGTGCGATCGAAGAGGCGGATCGTTCCAGTTTCAGGTGATTTCTTTGGGAGTTTTGAGAAGAATGTAACGAAGCCAGGGTCAGAGGCTAGTTCCAGGTCAGAGTTAAAATAACGTCCGTCATTGAGCCTGACATCGGAAACTCACTCAGTTCATGACCTGCATCCTTTTCTTTGCCATACATGAGAGCCATGATAAGTACTAAGTAGTCTCTGACCAAAGGTTGTCAAGAAGACTCAAGAGAGAAGCGAAAGATCGCGTCGCGTCGCGTAATTATGCAATTGCTCCCGAATATGATGGGATCAAACAGAAGTTCATGCTCGGTTAAGTACTTCAGTCCTGTTGAATGTTGAGCGCTGAGTTGTTGACAAGTCCTAGGTTGCGTATTTCCCTCGCAAGTCCCAAGTGTCACAGGGCTTGTATTTCTGCTCATTCCGTGCGTATTCAGCGTGATCTCACTGTATCGTATACTCATTAGCGAGACGTTTAATAGCGAGATGGGACAGTTGCTATGTTGCTCCAATAAAATGGCAGACGATGCAGAGGAGCGTCGAGCAGCTTTACAGCGCTGACCCCCTGGCCATCCTCGACGGTCCACTTCTCTCAGTAATTTTGCCATAAGCCTTTATGACAGATTCCAGCAGCAGGGTGTTCTTTCCGACCTTGATGAGTCCATTGAACTCGATCGAGCTGCACTGGGGCTCCGCCCCCCTGGCCATCCTTATTGATCAACATCACTCAACGATCTTGCCATCAGCCTTTGAGTCAGATTCAGGCGGCGGGGCGTCCTGTCTGACCTCGATGAGGCTATTGCGCTCGATCGAGCTGCACTGGAGCTCCGCCCCCCTGGTCATCCTCGTCGAGACCAGTCTCTCAACAACCTTTCCCTCGGCATTTATAAGAGATTTGAGCAGCAGTGCGTCCTGTCTGACCTTGATGAAGCCATTGAGCTCGATCGAGCTGCACTGGAGCTCCGCCCCCCTGGCGATTCTGATCGATCGACATCTCTCAACAGCCTTGCCGTCAGCCTTCGTGACAGATTCGAGCAGCGGGGCGTCCTATTTGACCTCGATGAGGCGATCGGGCTCCATCGAGCCGCACTAGAACTCCGTTCCCCTGACCATCCTCGTCGAGACGAGTCTCTCAACAACCTTGCCATCAGCCTTGGAAACGGATTTGGGCAGCGCAGCGTCCTGAATGACCTTTATGAGGCCATTGAGCTCCATCAGGCTGCACTGGAGCTCCGTCCCCCTGGCCATTCTGATCGAGACGATTCTCTCAACAACCTTGCCGTCAGCCTTGGAGACAGGTACGAGCAGCGGGGGGTCCTGTCTGACCTTGATAAAGCCATCGAGCTCCATCAGGCTGCACTAGAACTCCGTCCCCCTGGCAATTTGTGTCGATCCGCGTCTCTCAGCAACCTTGCCATGAGCCTTGGAGACAGATTCGAGCAGCGGGGGGTCCTGTCTGACCTTGATGAGGCCATCGAGCTCAATCGAGCTGCACTGGGGCTCTGTCCTCCTGGCCACTCCCTTCGATCCGCGTCTCTCAACAACCTTTCCAAAACCCTTCAGGCCAGATTCGAGCAGTTGGGCATCCTGCCTGACCTTAATGAGTCCATTGAGCTCGATAGAGCCGCACTGGAGCTTCGTCCTCCTGGGCATTTAGATCGATCCGACTCTCTCAATAACCTTGCTATCAACCTTGCATCCAGATTCAAGCAGCGGGGGGTCCTATCTGACCTCGATGAAGCTATTGAGTTCCATCGAGCTGCACTGGAGCTCTGTCCCCCAGGCCATTCTTTTCGATCCCGTTATCTTAACAACCTTGCTATCTGCCTTCAAGAAAGATTCGAGCAGTTGGGTCTATCACCTGACTTGGACGAGTCCTTTAGGCTTTATTTGCAACTATCTGAAGTATCCCATGCAGTCTCTCTTAGTGATCTTGTGACTGTCAAGTCATGGGTCACCCATGCCGAGCGGCTCCATCATGGCTCTGCATTGACCGCCTACCAAACCACATTAAGCTTCCTCGATCAGCACGTTGCCGCTCTATCTTCCTCCTCACGCCATTTCGACGTGATCAGGGAGACTACATCATCCCTTGCAATGGATGTTTTGTCGTACTGTGTTCGTCATGGTTCTTTCGCGACTGCTGTAGAACTGGTGGAACAAGGCCGTGCAGTATTCTGGACCCAGCTGGCACGCTTCCGCACACCACTGGATGAACTTTTCGTGTCAGGTGACACCGGCGCAGCCTTGGCGGCAGAGTTCCAGCAGCTCAGCTTCCGCCTTCGCGCCGTGCTTGATGTGCCTGCTGAAGACCAGTCCCCACAAATCCGACAATTAACTATGCAATGGAACGATGTCATCTCACGCATCCGCACGTTACCTAGCTTCTCTCGTTTTCTCCTGCCTCCGCTATTCCCTGATCTCCAGAAAGCGGCAGAAGATGGTCCGGTCATCATTGTCAACGCAAGCAAATACAGCTGTGATGCCTTGATTATCACAAGTGCCCGAGATCCCATTCATGTTCCACTTTATATCACACAACTCGAAGTCTCCGAGTTGTCCTCCGAGTTCCAGTCCCTCGCAGAGAGTTTTGGTTCTTCTGATCATCAACTTCAATTATACGAGATTATCAGCATCCTCCGCAAGCTTTGGGATGATGTTGTTGGTCCCGTGGTTCAAGTCCTCAGGGAGTTGATTCACCCCGGTTCACGCATCTGGTGGTGTCCCACCGCTGAGTTTACGCTGCTCCCTCTACATGCAGCGGGGCCCTATGAGAAGAAGATCCAGAATGTGTCTCAGTTTTACATCTCCTCTTACACCCCAACTTTGGCGACACTGATTCGGGCGAGACAGCAGCTTTCTCGAGATGCATCCATGCAACGTTTTGTTGCCATTGGCAAAGCAAACCCGGACAAAGGGAAGGAACTCCGATGTGTCGCTCCCGAGCTAGCCGTCGATGCATTAAGACACAATCAGTGGATTCACCTGGCTTGCCATGGAGTGCCAAATCGAAAACGCCCATTTGAATCTTCCTTCGCAATGCGCGACGGGCCTTTAACGATCAAGGAGATCATCCGATCCCACTGGCAGAACCCGGAGTTTGCATTCTTATCGGCGTGCCACACTACCGTGGGCGATGCGTCCAACCTCGATGAGGTCATCCATCTCGCTGCGATAATGCAATTCTCCGGATTTCGCAGTGTGATAGGTTCTATGTGGTCTGTCGACGACGAGGTTGCACGCCAGATTGCATCTGCTTTCTATGACAATCTGGTTGATGGTTCAGGGAGATTGGACTGCAAGCGCGCTGCGGCAGCATTGCACAAGGCCGTGAAGTCGTTGCGCAAGAAGATTCCATTAGAACAGCAGATCGTATTTGTTCACATAGGTGTCTAGTTTGAGATGGTTTTGCTGCATTTTCTGTCCATAATCCTGGCTGCATGTCTCGTCTTGTCTACTCCTTCAATTTTACATAGTTTACCTCTAGGATTTGTACATTCATTTCCCATCTTGGGCCTCGAAAACATCTCGTAGCGGCGATGGACGAGAAATGGCAGTAGAGCAGAGGAAGTAATGTGGTATTTTATTGCGCTCAATTACCCTGCCTTCCATCACCGGACGTACTTAGCAGAGATGTGTGGAGTCTATAAGGGCACGCGAAAACGTAGACAAACGCAGGTGGACGAAGCTCGGGAAATGGTTATAGAATTAGCAACACAGGTCTATCAAGCCCGAGCGAATGCATGCAGATATGACAATTGTTAATCTCGAGCAACTCACCATTAATATTGTCATCCCCGAGAATCCTCTGGGCTTCCAAACTATCGCTGTGCAGCATCTGCTCGCCACCCTTGAACGTCAAACCGCATGCTCACCTGTCATTGCATGTTATCACTTCGACATATGGCGACTGCAGGGTGTACTAAAACAGCTATCGGCGGCGACGTGTGGGGGTACTGAGAGTGGAACACACGTCTCCTGGAAGCAGTCAAGTAACAGCAAGTACTAGACTGAATCTAATAACTGCGGAAAGAACGCTGTCGCGTAATGTAGCTGTTCTTTGTGTTTTTTTTTCTCGCCGTGCTAAGGGCTTTGTTAAAGCAAAGATCGGAGGCTCCTATGCTCATAATCAGCTGGGACCAAAAAACATGCCGGCGTTCTCACCTTCGTGAACAAGCCTTCCTAATGAACCAGTCCTGCCCATCGGACAGAGCATTATTTATAGCCGTTGCTGCGAACCTCTTGCTCAGCATTTGTGATGGAAGTCAGCGCCAAGCATGCGGCGATCTATTTAGACACAGCCCTACGCCTCCAGAAGGATCCAGCAAGATCATGATGCTTACTGAGCCTCTGGGCAAGTGGCGTTGTGGCTGGCGCTTGCTGTGGCCGGATGTTTAAACTCCGCCACATTCCAGTATATAAATACCCCGTTATCTAGGCCTTCCCCAGATTCGTACCTCCTCGCAAACCACTCCTCTACATTCTCTAATATTACTGCACGTCCTTCGCGTATGTTTTGTTCCCTCATCTCTATCTGTATGTCAGGCTAACGGCGGGCACAGAATGCAGATTTTTGTTAAGACGCTCACCGGCAAGACCATCACTCTTGAGGTCGAGTCCTCTGATACCATCGATAACGTCAAGGCCAAGATCCAAGACAAGGAAGGGTACGTATACTTTTAAGTTTGTGCCACTTATGACTGACGATCGTCTGCAGTATCCCACCCGACCAGCAACGTCTCATCTTCGCTGGAAAGCAGCTCGAAGATGGTCGGACCCTCTCTGATTACAATATCCAGAAGGAGTCTACCCTTCACTTGGTCCTGCGTCTCCGTGGAGGCATGCAGATCTTCGTAAAGACCCTCACGGGCAAGACGATCACGTTGGAGGTAGAGTCTTCGGACACCATCGATAACGTGAAGGCGAAGATCCAGGACAAGGAGGGTATCCCCCCTGACCAGCAACGCCTCATCTTTGCTGGCAAGCAACTCGAGGATGGTCGGACGCTCTCCGACTACAACATCCAGAAGGAGTCCACCCTCCATCTCGTCCTCCGTCTTCGCGGCGGTATGCAGATATTCGTCAAGACCCTGACGGGCAAGACTATCACATTGGAAGTCGAGTCGTCTGACACCATCGACAACGTGAAGGCGAAGATCCAGGACAAGGAGGGTATCCCTCCTGACCAACAGCGCCTCATCTTTGCCGGGAAGCAGCTCGAAGACGGTCGCACTCTTTCCGACTACAACATTCAGAAGGAGTCTACCCTCCATCTCGTTCTTCGTCTCCGTGGTGGTATGCAGATCTTCGTCAAGACCCTCACGGGTAAGACGATCACTTTGGAGGTGGAGTCATCCGACACCATCGACAATGTCAAGGCGAAGATTCAGGACAAGGAGGGTATCCCGCCGGATCAGCAGCGGTTGATCTTTGCCGGAAAGCAGTTGGAGGATGGTCGCACCTTGTCTGACTATAATATTCAGAAGGAGAGCACCCTTCATCTCGTCTTACGTCTTCGTGGTGGTCTTTAGTAGCGCTGGATGTTGATGTCGCATACCTATCATTCGTTGTATCATTACCTGCACGTCGTTATCCATAGTCCTGCAAAGATGTTCTTTGTTCGCCCGAACATGTCCGCTCTAAGTTCTGACTGGTCCCTAAGTACGGTATTAGTAAGCTTGTCGCACTGGCACAAAACTATCCATCTTCAAGTGCCTCAGAACTCGGGGACTTAGTGGGGTTGTTGATGCCTGATTTCGAACCTGAATCAGAGCAATTACATTCATGAAGCTGTACTCCTATCACTTCTACCCTCCCGATCCTTCCGTCTCTCCTTCCCCCGTTCCCTACCCTCGTCTCTCTCCTTCTTCCCCTTCCCACTCCTCTCCTTGGGCACCCTAAAACACATGAACTCAATCCCAGTCGCACGCCGACTCTCCGCCAGCGTTCTCTTCACACTATCTAGATTCCCTTGCAAATTCTCATCTCCCGCCCGTCGCGCATACGCCTGAGAGATCTTATTGTACAACTCCGAAAGCGTCTTCGCAGCTGGTGGAGACACGTAGCGCGCAAGCGTTTGGTGCATGAACTCGATCTCTAGCGTAGCCTGTGAATGGCATCTTAAACGACAAAGTAACATGCGAAGGAGAACGTGACATACGCGAAGCATACCGCCCATACCGAACCGCTTGACTTGTTTGAACGAGAGTAGTGCTTCTTCAGCGGCGTTTTCTACAAGCGCATGCATCCCGCGTTCGAGTAGATTCTCTGCGACGCGGCTAATTTGTGCGTGGATCTCGACGAGGCCCATTAAAGCCTTGTACATATATGTTCGTATTTCTTACGTTGGATGTTAGAGCGGGCAGCAACAAGTGGAACGAGACAAGCTCACCTGTGGGTTGGGGCGTCTCGTACCAATCCATGTTTTTGTCAAGAATGCCTTCTCGCAAGATGGTTGCGATGACAGCAGCCTTGGGCTTGACATATCCATCGAAGAGCGTCTTGTCCAGCGCAGTCACTGCTTTCATTAGTGCCTACACCATTATTTGAGCGTGCAATGTAACGTAAGTAGCAAAGCAGTAGGCTTACCCTTCTATCATCCTCAACTGATACTCCGAGCGCATTCTCCAACTGAGACAACATACCGGGTATCAACGATGCTGTTAAATTTGAGAAATTCGATATCACAAGGAGAAGCCTCGCATTCTTGATGCATGGCTGTCTCAGTGCCAGAATCGACAAGCAGAAAAAAACCACCCACCGAGTCGCGCAGGTCGATCAACTCCTGCTTTCCTTCTCGTTCAGGTGCTCCGCTGCCTACACCTGGTGGCACTTCCTCCGCGACAAGTACCACCATCCCATCCAGAATTGCATATATTGCGTCTAAAAATGCCTTCGTGATCTTCGTGGTGAATACCGGTGGTACAGCATTCTGCTGCGTAACCCGCAGTACGCCTGATCCGCTGTCCCCCGAAAGACCGCCCGCGATTTTGAATGCCGACGTTGCGAGGTGGCGCATGAATGATTCGAGATAAGTGAGGTAGAGTGTTGTGGAAGGGGTGGAAAGATCAGGCGTGAATGATTCGAGTGCGTACATGTAGTTGGCGTCTAGGATAGTGAGTGTATAAATGCATGAGGGGCAGTATAATGTTAGCGCATACCTCGCACCCAAGATTTCACTAGTACATCCTCAAAACGCCACCGCACGCTCTCCACCAGTCCTTTCACCAGACCGCCTTCGCCGAGTTCCAACGCGCCGATCTCTGTCACGCAATCTTGTACCTCACTAAGGATCTTGGTCAGCCAGTGAGCCGTCGTTAGCGAATTCGAGTGAGATGGGAGATGTAGGGGAGAATTGGGGGTCGAGGACTTCGATAGGATGTCGGAAAGAATAAAGAATTCCGAGAGAAGACTGATGTAGAGCTTGATGATGTCGAGTGCCATTTGCCTGCATTGGGAGGCACTGCGCCTCGAGGACGATGTCTAGCGGAAAAAGTGGACGTCAGATAGATGTCATGGCCGCACGAATGATACGAACTCGTTTAAACTTTCCCTCCAAGAAGCTCTTTGCAATTTTCCAGAAGTTTGGAAGCGAAGAGATCATAACCTCAGACACGTTTTTCATCATGTCCCAGATACCCTGCCAGACTTCATGACCGCCTGCTTGCGCTGAGTATGACACAATACGAATGAGTAACAAAGTTTGACTAGAGGGATGTTGGCTCACCAATCACGGCCTCAGACGCTTTGCTCTCCAGCGCTACAATACATACCTGGAGTTGCGCACCAAGGATCTGTCTGAGTGCATGCGGAGGCGACAGATCAGGGGTCGTGCGAGACTTTATGCCTGTGATGCATGTCAGTTGAAAGCACCCAACAGAGCGAGAGGAACGCGCCATCAATGTTTGAAACACCAGTCCTGTAGGCAGCGCTCATCCGATCCATGATGTACTTATGCTGACTATCAAAGTAGGTCCATATTGGGTCTTCAGGCGTATTTAATTCCAGGAGAATCCTAGTCAGTGCTGCTTCAGAACGAGAACGTGAGCAATAACGAGTGAACGCGTACTCAATCCCTCTCTCCATTTCCTCGACGCTCCTTCCTGGTTCTTGCAATCGTGACAAAAGTAGCGCCTTCATTTCTCCCATCACCTTTTCAACGTTTGCCCACACCTTGTCCAATATCCTCTTCTGTCGCGCCGTGGAGCTGGCATTAGCACCTGCCTCGACGGGAAGGAGCTGGCCCGGGCGAGAATCGAGTAGAAACTTGCCCTTGTTGTACTGACGCATTGCAGCCTCATACCTTCCAGCCTCGATGGATTCCACGAGAAATCCAGGCAGGCTGAAGAAGAACTTGGAGCGCTCAAAGACGCCGAGCGTAGTGCGCAGCTTTTGAGCTTTGGCGCTGTTCTCGAGGACAGGGAGGAAGACCTGATTAGCCTTCACGGCTGAGCCTGTTTCGGAGTGCATCAAATACAGGATTAAGAGGAGTGATACTGGGACGAACGTTTTAAGCAGTCTACGAGCGGTCTGCTAGCAAACTCCGCCGTGTCGCTCAGTAATCCCTCGCGCATCTCCGCATATAACGCTACGGGCACGCACCAGTTATTTTGGAACAAGCACAGATGAATAGCACGTAACGCACCATCAGTAGAAGCCTTGACGGCAACGAACCGATCAAAGTTATCCTCTACAAGGACACGGACGGCCTCTGAACGGGCATCGATAGATGACTGAAGATGGTTAATGCCTGCTGCGAGATCTTGGTAGGTTGCATTTGGGTGTACAGCAGATAGAAAGGCTTTGGGATCGAATGATTTGGAAGAGATGAGCACAGACATCTCTAGAACCGCATGAACAACCCAAATCCTAGCTGAAGACGGACGTGATCACGCACTGGATTCTGGGTCTAAATTCGTCAGACTGCGAACGTTGTTAACATTAAATGGCGGGCTCTATGACGGTACATACTCAATGACGCCGCCGAGGCCCAGGGGGTCACCTTCTCCA